GGTATAATTTGCATACAATAGAATTCACCTGGATTAAGTGTGTGATTCAGTGATTTTAGCAAATTTATGGAGGTGTGCAGCCATCGCTACAATCCAGTTTTAGAGCATCTCTATCCTCCTGGAAGTGCTCAAGTCTGTTTGCAGCCTAATCTCCATGCCTTCCACCTTTCCCCAGCAATGACCATTCCACTTTCTGTCTCTGTGAATTTGTCCTTTCAGACATTTCATATAAAAGGAATCTATGTATGTCTTTTGTATCTGGCTTCTTTCCTTTAGCATGACATTTGTGAGGTTCATCCATATTGTAGCATGAATGAGTAATTCCATCCTTTTTACTACCAAATACTATTCCATTGTCTGGATAGACCACATCTGGCTTATCCATTCCTCAGTTGATGGACATGTGGGTTGTTTCCAGCTTGGGAATAAGGCTGCTGTGTACACTCATGCATGTCTTATATAAAGTCTCTTTCTAGTTCTTTTGAGTAGATTTCTAGGAATGGAATTGCTGGGTCACATGATAAATTCATGATTAATGATTTAAGCAGCTGTCAAACTTTTTTCCCGTGATGCTGAGCTAATTTACATTCCTACCAGCACTGCACAAGGATCCTGGTCTCTCCACCTCCTCGCCAGCACTTGGTATCGTCTGTCTTTCTGGTTAATAACAGCCTGCTGGGAGTGAAGTAGTGTCCCTTTATGGTTTGGACCTGTGTTTCCCCAATGGCTCATAATGTTGAGCAGCACTATGCATTTACCGCTAGGCTGGGGTTTGACCTTTTCAGCTGGGGCTTAGCAAACTTTTTCTCTGAAGGGCCAGATAATAAATATTTGGGGCTTTGTGGGCTACATTTGGTTTCTGTTGCATTTGTTTTCATAACCCTTAAATAATTTAAGATCATTCTTGGCTTCTTAGCACAAAAACAAGCAGGAGACAGTTTGAAGTCCCCTGTCAAAGGATCCCAGCAGCCCATTCACTCTGGGTAACAAGAGGTAACCCACCCCTTTGGGGAAGCGGGCTCGGTGGGAGGACCATACAGCAAAGCTGAGAGCTAGGCTCCTGAGAGCCTGGAAGCTAGCATTAGGAGGTGTCCCCATCCCAGCCCTGTGATTCACTACCAGATGAGCTCACCAGAGTTCCTAAGATGAACTAATTTGTCACCCAAGGCAGTGACTGGGCTTGTGTGGTGCTGGACAGGCCTCCCTCTGCTTGTGGCAGCCTGTCCTGATGTTCAAAGCCTCTTTGGGGACCAGTGGCCTGCCCATACCCATGACCATGACATTACAGCCTTACTGTCCTCCTGCTTTCCCACAGCTCCTCTGCTTCTTGGTCAGCCTTCCTGCAGCTCCTCCGTTCCTTGGTCACCTGGGCCCTGGCTCTCAGAGCCTCATGCACTTTCTGGCCTTCACCCCATGCCACCATCATTCTTGACCCCTTCTTCACAGTGACCCTGGATGAATCTGTCCCTTTCCACCATCTGTGCCAGCCCTGGCTGATGTGCCAGAAAGAGGGGGCATCTGAAGTCTACCAAAGCCGATTTTGACTCTTGAATTGCCCTTCCTAGCTGCGTGACCCTAGGCAAGTCATGTCACCTCTCTGGCCATGATGGTAACCCTGTGTGTGAGCAGGTTGCTAGAGTCCTATAGAAGAAGCTACAAGCACTCCCTCTGACTCCCCTTAGCATCACTGCTCTGAAGGATGCTCACTGTGAACTCTGTTAGGAGCATGAGTGTTTCTGGCCGTGGAAGCACTTCGACTGCGGCACAGGGCACTGGGCACAGGGCAGCCACTGGGGTGTCCAGGAAACTAGTGGATAAGTGCTACAGCTTCGTTGCTGCTTGGGTGGGTCATCTCTAATGCACGATCTAACCGTCTCCTAGGGATCCTAGTGGATTCAGCACCTTTCCCCAGTGGGTAATGTTGCCAGTTGTCTGGTCATAATGCTTGATGATGCCCTGCTAATTTACTGCCTTCTCCCCCCAGTCTCTCTTCCCCATCATGCTCTGATGTATCTAGTGCCTCTCAGATAAATAAACCATTTGCACCTGGGCCTTGTCTTTGCGTTTGCTCCCAGGGCTGCTTTGCCTGTGGCAGGTCCCCAGCTCCTGGGGTTACTGTGAAGAGGGAATGAGATGACGCCTATACGTGCCCAGCACAGTGCCTGGCGTATAGTATGTGCTCATTAAATCTTAGCCCTTGTTAAAGCCCCTGGGACTTTCTGGTTTGAATACAGCTTCTGTGACTACTGTTCTGGGGGTGCCTCTTAAGCAAGGGTTTGGGTTCCAGAGACACTCGTGGAAGAGCTGTCGACCTCCCCGCTGTAAGGAGGGGCTGTCAGTGAGCACCGGGGCTGAGTGCAGCCACGAGGGGCTCCTTGGAAACTGCACTGAGGCTGGTGGCGCCCATTGAACCCTCTGCCAGGGCCTTGCTGCCCCTGCACCTCAGTGATGTCTGAGTGGCCAGTGGGGGACTGTACTCACGACCACCTACCTCACAGGCTGGCTGCAGGCAGTTAGATTTAAATGAGGGTTGGCTGGAATAATGCTCGCCAAAGATTAATGGTGGTTGTATTCTAAGATGTGGGATTTTTGAGGCCTTTTTTCACTTATCCTCCCTTTGTGCTTTCGGCATGGTTTAAATTTCTTACAATAAGCATTCATCATTTAAAAAAAAAAATGATGAAGTCTTTATTCTTTCAAAAGTAAATAGCTTGCAGGTGATCAGAAGAGAATGCACTTAAAGCTCAGACCGTGTTTAAACCTAGAATCTACTGTGGAAAGACACGGGTGTGCATCATTGTGGTTTTCTGTTGGGGCTTAATATATGGCATGTTTAAATGGTCATTTAAAAATTAAGCAGTTCTCTGGCTACAGAGCGAAACCGCAATGTCCCGGACTCAAAGGAGCATTTGTCTCCTGGGATGGATTGGGTTCTGCCTTGGGAAGTGTCTCCACTGCATTAGGCTTCGGGCACTGTGTTTGCTTAGATCAGTCAGGGAGGCTCGGCTGATGGAAATTAGGACTGAGCTGGTTACAGTCTAGGAAAGCCTCAGAGAAATTGTGCATCTTGTATTAACGTCATGGATTTCACCATCCTCATCAAGGACAAATATACTGCTCACCAAATACCCATGTCTCTCTCTCCTCCACCACCCTTCCCCCGCCTCTTCGGGTCCAAAATGACTGGCAAGGAAATGTTCCTGGGCTTTTCCTCTCCCACCCTGATAAAAACTATGCCGTCTTCCTCTGCCCTTCTGGCCCTCTGGCCCTTTCTGTTTCTTGATGGGGACCGGGCAGAGAATGGTAAGGCAGAGACAAAGAGAAGGAGATGGGGACAGGGGGGATGAATGCTGTGTGTAGGAGAGAGAAGCTAAGCTGGTTTAACACAGGAAAGATCTGGGTGCTGAGGGGGCAGTAAACTTTGTGAGTTTACTGTGTGGGTTATGCTGGTGGTGATAGGGATATGATTAACAAGTGAGAAGCTCCCGAAATCATGGAGTGTGAAGAAAATGGGATACTTGCTGTGTTGCTGTAGGTTGTATATTTCATCCTTTTAAAGTTTTACAAAAGAGACTGGTTAAGTATCCGGATTCCCCTTTTTGTTACGGTGGCTGTCCTAATTTGGACAATGTTCTCTAAAGTAATTCCATACAGAGACTCGACCATATGGGTCCAGGATTTATTAAGGTTGCATGGTTCAAGTGGCTGCAAGGTATTTTCATGCCTAACTTACAAAAGAGGAAGCTGAGGCTCAGTGAGTGAAGGACTTTATAGAAAGAGTCAGGTGTGCCCGACTCCGGACTGAAACTGTGGTGGAACCACAGTGCTCAGCACAAGTTACTACTCGGTTTGATATGGACTGTGTTCCCAAATACTTTCTGTAAGGGGTTGGGTTCCAAAATTACCTTGTCATTCTTTTCTTTTTTTCCAGAGAGGAAGGGAGAGAGAGACAGAAACATCATTGATTGACTGCCTCCTGCACTGGAGATTGAGCCCAAAACCTGGGCATGTGCCCTTGACCAGAATCGAACCCAGAACCCTTCAGTTCACAGGCTGAAACTCTATCCACTGAGTCAATCTGGCTAGGGCTAGGGCTAGGGCTCACCTTGTCATTCTTAACTCAGAAGCTAAGTGGTCAGCTTCAGGGGCCAATGGGGGACTCTGATCTCTTTTGCTTCCTTTCCTAACTCAGACTTTGGGGCATGTCACCCAGCTGGCAGCTGGCACAGTGACACTGAAGGAGGTTTTCCCCATGGAGCAGGGCTTCTATTGAAGGAGTTCATCCAGTTAGACAGAGGCTCCCCAGCAAGCTGGGACAGGGAAGGGGCGGGATTTGGCTGGGACCTCCGCCTTCAGAGGGAGGGCTCCTGTTTCCATGATGTCAGAGAGGCGGAACTAACTCTGCCTCAAGTCCAGGGAGGCAGCAGCCCTTGGCTTCAGCCTCCAATTAGCGCCTGAAGGAAGGTGAGAATGCTCCCTCCTGTCTCCCTCTGCCTCTCCAGGAGGGAGCCGAAGATGGCCTTCGTTTCCTGGGGGCCATTGTGGGCTCCCTGCCCACTTGGCTGGAGTGGAGTTCTTTGCCCCCACCCTATCCGTCTTGTTTCTTAGCTGTACCCCACTCCTCAGGGGCACCCCTTGGGATCGGACGAGCAGAAGCAGTGCTTCCAACTCAAAGAACGTCCCTTTGTGGACCCACGAATGTTTCCACTCCTATTGCGTTTGGCAGGTTTTGGGCTCAATATCCAAAGAGAAATCCCTTTTTCTTTTTTAAAGTCACTGGAAATAGTATAGAAATTACTCTTCTGTGTTCTGGAGGCCTGGATGTCTGCAGATGCACCGGTGACTCAAGACTGCCTGTTTCCTGTCACTTTCTCAGGGCAGAGCGTGGCCCTCACTACAGTTTCTTGGGGCCTTTTGCATCCTAACTGATTCTTTGATCATCTTGTATCTTCTTCCCTCAGCATATCAATAACAGGTTTGTATCTTTTTCTCCTGACCAGAAAAAGATTTACAAATATAAGAAAGTCCTGAGTAACCCAAGCCGCTGGGAGGTTGTCTTGAAGGAGATCCGAACTCTGGTGGACATGGCCCTGACATCCCCCCTGCAAGATGACTCCATCAACCAAGCCCCACTGGAAATTGTCTCAAAACTGCTCTCAGAGGTAAGACACTTCTCCCTGCTGGATTGTGTGCCTCCCGAACCCCCATTTAAATTATTTTGTTTCCTTTTACTTGCTTGCATACCAACCCTCTACCAGAATTGGATTTGAGTTTATCTTCTGTTGCTTTAAGGAAGTGAGGGGTTCCCCCCAGCCATCCAAAAGTATTGAGAAGGTTTGCCCAGTGCTTCCAGCTGATCTGTCCTAGGCTGTGGCAGGGATGAAGGGACAGTTGTCACTCCCCTGCCATGCCCCACGACTGAACTGGGGATGGGGAGAGAGGGTGGTATGGTTGTGGTCCTGAGGCTGGGCTGGTGGTGGTGGTAATAGCTGACTTCAGAATTCTCTAGTTCATTTCTAAGAAGGAGCACAGAAGCACATTGGGAAAGTCCCCCTTCCCCCTTCTCTCCCACCCCCCAACCCCCCACAACACACACGCGCACACACACACACACACACACACACACACACACACACACTCCTTGCTTCCTGTCCCCATGGTACTGGGCTGGTGAGTCCCTGCCGGTCTCCATCTCCCCCAGCACTGGCCCACCTCAGCTCCAGTGGTCCAAGCAAATGGTTTTCTGCCCTAATCACCCCCACAGCCTACAGCTATACGTTGTTTAACGTGCACAGGATTTTTAAAATCAGGAGATTATACACCAAAATGAGAATTTTTAAGTTCTCTTTAAAAACAATCAGGAAATTTGGCAGCTATTTAGAGCTGGTGATGCTTAGCACCACCCACCTGAGCCGTCTGCTTTGCCAGTCGGCCAGCGCTCTGAGTGTGTGCTGTGGGCCAGGCGCCATTCTGGGCATTTGAGTGAAGACAAGCCCCTGCCCTCCTGGAGCTTACGTCCTGGGAGGGGACAGACACGGGAGACTCAGTCAGAGAGCTGGGCACATTGTTTGTTAGAAGGCAAGGGGCGCTAGGAAACACACTTCTGTTTACTCTGTCCAGGCGCTATTCTAAGCACTTCACAAATATTAATACTCTTGTTTATTTGCCTGCCTGGTCCTCTGGGGACACTATAGAGTTGATGAGTCCTGATTTAAACTATGCATGGCCACCAGAGTGATGCTTCTGTCCCCTTCTTTCTATGTGCCCCCCCATCCCCCCTCTTCAGGGTGGTCCCTGTCTTCTGACGCCCTGGTTCCCTGGGCAGTGCCTACAGTCTTCTTGACTTGCACACATGCTCCCTGCTGCCTAGACTGGCCTTCTTTCTGCAGGCCTGGCCTGGTCACTGCCTGCCGGTCCAGGAAACTGGCCCAGGCCTTACCTGTCTACTGCCTTGAGAGGGTCCCTCATCCTGGGAGGGCGTAGGGGCAAGAAGAAGTGACGGTTGCAAGCAGAAGAGCAGAGGATGTGTCTTCGGGTGGGACACCAGCTGTGTTCCACAGAGGCATAACAACTCAGGCCCTGAAAGGATTGAGGGTCAAGGTCTGGAACTGGAGGCCAGGTGCCATGTGCCCAATCTCAAGTCCAGGCTTCCGTCCTGAGCAGGAGAAGGGTAGCAGGCCAGGGGCTGCTTCTCAGTGGGGAAGGGAAGGCAGCTTATCTTTTGGAAGCAGCTGCTCTGTGCTGGGCAGGTGCCAGGTGCCAGCACTCAACATCTCCTTTAATGCCTTCTCCCTGAGAGGAGAGCCTGCTGTCTCCATTCACAGTTGAGGAAACTGAGGTCCAGAGACACCAGCCTGCCAAGCGTGCAGTGGGGCTGGACATGCCATTCCAGCTTAGGGCTGTGTAGTTCTTACTGCAAGACCGCATGGCCCACCCCTTCTACCCACCATTCTTGTCCACCAGCATAAAGTCAGGCTCATCGTCAAGATGATGGCAGAGGTGGCCGATGACATTGTGGCCACCTGCTTGGTGGGGTTTCTTTCCCATCTCAGATGTTTCATGTGCTTACATGCCAGGGGACACGGCCATTGGTAAGGGACAGAGCTAGGACTGCAGCCCGGTGGCACCTCCTCCAGTAAGGCTTCCACCTCTCCGAGTGACACTAGCACCTTTTCGGCACACGCTCTGTGACAATCACTATCAGGCATTTAGAGCTCACTTTTACATTTCCACACTCCACCAACTATTAGCTGTGTTCCTGGTGAGCAGCCATACCTCTTTGAGTCTCACTCAGGTAGCTCATTTGTTGGGACAGTAGGAAATAGTAGGAGAATGGACACGAGAAAGAGAAATGGGTGGCATGAGTATTACAAAGCTCTCACACAGTGCCTGAGGCAATAGCAAACTGACAGGAAGTTAGTCTTAGGGAAGAAAAAACAAAGCCCAGACCAAAGCCGGGCTTTCATCTACCCGGAGCTGAACGATGACTGAAGTTTAATCATCTACCCTCAATGGGCTGCTCAAACTCCAACATCCACAAAAAGAAAAAGGCGTTGGAATCCATAAAACATCCTCCCAAATGTTCCCTGGTTCTAAGCATCTCGGATCAGGCTGTCTCCATGGGAACCAGGAGACTCGTGGAGCTCAGACAATGACCATAGTTCTGTGTCCACCTTCATCCCTCGGCAGCTGGACAAAAGCAGATTCACAGTGTGCTAGCTTTTCTTTTGCTTCAGCGGGTGTAAGCTCATTAGATATCCCAGCGCTGCTTGGACCTGTCCAGGCGGTAGGTGTCGTGGGCTCTTTCTAGAACCTAGAACAGTCGATCTTGCCATTCCTGTCCAGTGATGAGGCATCTTATGAGAGCATACGTGATTCTGTTAGAAAATGTGAATTAACACCCAAGAGAGCCTGTGTCTATCAAGATAGACAAAGCAGAACGTGCTCGGAAGCTAGCAAAAAAGACAATAGTGGCCATTTCTGAGTTTTCTCATGGTTTCTCATTTATTGCATATTCATTTCTTTCCTTATTTGCATGCTCACAGGATGGCAGTACAGCTACCAATTGTGAAAGAAATATCCAGATTGAGGGGAAAGCCTAAAAATTAAGCAAGTTTAATCCCTTCAACTTAATATTATTTTTTGAAAATTAACTGTTAGAATTGAAATTTAGCTAACACATCTTGGGCCAACGCACAGAACACTAATGTTCCCTAGGAACCTAGTTTGGAGAACCTCTGAGATAATATATATGCCACTCCTAGTAGACTCCAGCAGAGAGTCAATACTGAAAAGTGTTCTTCATGTGTTTATTATGAACCTGTCTTCTGGCTTCCAAGTGGCATATATCCTGTCCCTGTAGCCCAAAGAGGATCCCATGTACTGAAGAAGAAACTGAGTCTCACTCATAAGCGGTCTGTCCGCATCACATGACTCACAGGCTGCGAACAGGGACTCGGAACCTGATTCCCCTGCCCTAAGGTGTACTTTCCTCCTGTCCCAGCCCTGCCTGTGAGGGGCTTCTGATCTGTGTAATAAAGAACGGGCGTCAGCAGTGCACTAAGAAGCTGAAAACAGTTGAAACTGTGTGGTCCTTCGGGATACAAATGTTCCACTTTATTAATATTTGTTTGTTTTCTTTTGTTTTCCTCCTGCTTTCTGTGTTCCATCCTTTAGAACACAAACTTGACGACCCAGGAGCATGAAAACATCATTGTGGTAAGTCTCTCGCCATCCCTCTCCCGGTGCCCACAATTCTTTCCCAGTTTGGGTTAATTCTGAAGGCGCCAGCATTTCCCACTAACACAGCGACCTGGCTCAGCTGTCTCTTTCTCAAGCCAGACATGTCTCGCTCCTGCTTTTGCACATTTCAGGGTCCAATTGATTTTGGGGGGATATAATTATCAGTCTCTGAGGTTTGTAGCAAATGTGCCTTAATCGCCTCCTCTGGCCTGAGTCTGCAGAGGGGGTTGAAGGCAGGAGATAGCAGAAACCATGTAACATATTCAGAGGCAAAACCCTTGGTGGAAATGTAGCCGGTCTCTTTTTTGCACAGGCCATGTCTCCTAATTAACCCACAAATAGAAACTGTTTTAATTTCCTCTGGTACGAAAAGTGAGATGATATTTTCTGGGACTTGTCTATGATGTAAGCATCTCAGGGGTAAAATATCTTCCTTGATGATGTTAAGCTATGAAATATGACTCTCACTAGAGAGAGGGAAGAAATGAAATTTCAACTACTGGGTGCAAAGCATATGATGAATCCACAGATAACTAAGACAGCCCCCTGCTCCCAAGGATTCATCATCTATTGTAGGAAGACAAATGAGATCACTGCAAAAATAGAGGCATGTTGTGTAGAGAGTAGAGTGGCAAAATCACCTGGGAAAGAAGCCAGAGAACTTCCTGGAGACAGTGATGTCTGAGCTGGGTTTTGAAGGATCAATAGGAGTTTGCCAGGTGGCAAAACAGAGTAAAGGCATTCCAGAGAGAGGAAATAAAATGTAAACAGAGATTTAAAACAACGTGGTATCTTTTTGAAACATCAACATCACCAAAGCATAAAGCATAAGGAAGTGGAAAGCAGGGAGGCAGAACTTGAAATGGAAGTGAGGGCAGAGGTTTGTGTGCCTGGGACAGGCCCAGAACACTCACCTGCCCAAGAGGTCCCATGGCTGCAGCCTTTGAAACAAGGGCAACATCCCAGCACCATACCCCTCTGAGTTGAATTAGGACTTTGAATACCCAACTACTTGGCCCTCATGAGCCCAGTCTGGACAGTCATCCTCTTTGCCCCAGCTGGGTCCTATCAGCACCAAAGGAGATAAGCCCTAGGCCTTTTATTGCTGAGAGTAAAAGCAGCAATTTCTGTGGAGCACCAATACAGTGTCTGGTACATAGTAGGTCCTCAGTGAGTATTTGCTAAAAATACAGAGGTTTCTCCCATGTTCCACCCTGACCACCCATTTCCATCTCTGGCCAGACCAGGGAGCATGCACCTGGGCACCCCAGTCACCCACCACCCCCTTTCTCTGGTATACTATTAACTAACAATATAATTTAACAAACATTTGTTGACATGTGAATACAAGTATATGCCAGACACTAGTCTCTAATCCATAGATATGAAGCTACCATTGAGGGATTTATTATGAGCTAGGAGGACCTGGCGGGTCAACAGATAATCACGTATTGGTCAGAGGTTCAAATTTGTTCGGGTGTTAGAGGAGCACAGAGGACAGGGAGGGTGCTGGGAGGAAGGTGGCAGAGTCTTCCAGGAGGAGGTGAGCAGACGGAGTCTTAGAATGGTAGGCATCTCCCAGGAAAGGCAGTCCAGGCAGTGGCCCAGTCCATGCAAAGGAAAGTGGTGAGACTGGCTAGCGGAGAAACAGGTAGAAATGTATTAGTATATGCCAGGCAAGCAGTTGGCATCTTCCTCTCTTCTGACACCTGTGGGTCTCACTATGTGCCTTGGCCCTGGAAAGGAGGGGCAAGGGCTTTGGACTTAGGACAAGCCTGGGAAAGACATTTTGGTCCGAGAAATGCAGGCTGCATTTAGCCAGCTAATTTGGCTGGGCTGACCCCTTAATTGGGCCTGGCTGGAGCTCTCCTGCTCAGCGGGGATGCCTGAGAACAGGGAAGAATCTGATCTGAGGGTCTGGCCCTCAGCCCTCCGTTCAGCATTCTTCATTCCCGATGTTGGGTCCATTACCATGAAGCCCTCTGCAGCTCCTTTCATTTCAGCAATTGCACTATCTGATTTGGCTTACTGGCAATTAGTCTTCTCCCAACGGGGCTGGTATTTTTTTATGAACTTATTTTTTTATGAGTACTTTTACAAGTAACTTGAGTTGGCTTTATTCAGTCAGTCAGTCAGGCATCCGTGCAATAGGTAACTGTTGGTTGGTAACAGCTGGAGTGTCACTGGGTGAATGTGGACCTGGAGGCCAAATGCCAGCTGCCTTCCCCCAGGCTGGTGAAGAAAGTGGGTTTAAAGCCAAATGTGGGTTCAAGTTCAGAGCCAAGTGCAGACCTAGGGCCCACCCCATACTAGCTGTGACCTTGGGTGAGTAATGGAAGAACTTGAAATTTTATTTAATTTCATTAAAATTGTCTTTGATTTTGCAAGTATTTCATTAGTATATTTTAACAGTAAAAAAAAAAAAAAAAAAACTTACCCCATCCCAGCATCCTCTTCAGAGATAGCCCTAGAGGTTTCCAATGGTGACAGAGTCACACAGACAAATATGGTTGTGGTTTTACTTTTTGTTTTATTTGTTTGTTTTGTTTTTTAAATATATTTTATTGGTTTTTACAGAGAGGAAGAGAGAGGGATAGAGAGCTATAAATATCAATGAGAGAGAAACATCGACCAGCTGCCTCCTGCACACCCCCTACCAGGATGTGCCCACAACCAATGTACATGCCCTTACCGGAATCAAACCTGGGACCTTTTAGTCCGCAGTCTGAAGCTCTATCCTAGGGGTGTCGAACTCAATCAGAGAAGGGGCCAAAATCTAAAATCCAGCCTAAATCGCGGGCCGAATGGTTTACTGAACAGTCATAAACTGTCATTGTGATGGAAACGCAGCGGAGTGCAGTGATGACAGCGCGGTGCGGGCCACATTGCAAGGCCTGGCGGGACGGATTTGGCCCGCGGGCCTTGTGTTTGACACATGTGCTCTATCCACTGAGCCAAACCGGTTTTGGCTGCTTTTTGTTTTTAACATTGATGATGTCATGTTGGGTGTGTTGTTCTGCATTTTTTTTTTTTTTCTCCCTTAACAAATATCCTAGAAATTCTCTCAAGTCTTTTCGTGCATCACTACCTCAGGGTTTCTCACTCTTAGCAGGGGTGACATTGGGGATGGGTCATCCTTTGTGGTGAGGAATATCCTGTTTGCACTGTAGGATGTTGAGCAGCACGCCTGGCCACTGCCCTCTAGATGCCAGTAGCACTCCCCTGTGGTGACAATAAAAAGTGTCACCACGTGCTGATGTCCCCTGGCGGGCAAAGTCACACTAGTTGAGGACCACTGGCCTACCCCCATTCTTTCTACTGGCTCAAGAATATTGTTAATTAACCAGGCAGCCATTCAGATAGCTTCCAGTTAACTTGACGCTCTAAGCCTTAGTCTTCCCGTCTATGAAATGGGTATGACAACTGGGCCTTTCCTATAGGGCCTGCTGAAAGTGTTAAATGAGCTAATATACACCTATTATGCTTAGCTCATAGAAAGATTCTACACAAAAATAAGCGTTTTTATTAATTATATGTTGTAAAATTATCAATCTGTGATTAGGGCAGGCTTTGTAACCTCCCTGACAGTTTGTCTCTTTATCTGTGTAAAAGGAAGTAACTACTGCTTGACCTCACTGAGTTTGGCAGTCAAATGAGAGAATTGCTATGGAAGCACCGAACCCACACCTATGGGTGCTTAATTTGTTCCCGCTCCTCTATTCCTTACCTCATTCCCATGAAAGAGGGGCTCAATGTGATTAAAGGGGCTCAACCCAGGAGGTGCACCCTGCATGTGGCAGAGCCATGGGCCAGGCAGAGGCTCCCTGTCCTACTGTCTCTGCTATGACCTCACTCCTCCCAGCCAGCACGTTGGAGGGGACAGCAGAACCCCTCTCCCCCCCCCCCCCCCACGGTGTCTGACACTGACTCACTGTCCAGGAGAATGTTCAGTGTGCAAATGTTCTCTGTCTACACCATCAAGACTGGCACCCACCAGCCTCATGAGGCTACTGAAGTGTGGTTAGTGCAACTGAGGAATGCATTCTACATTTTATTTCAGTTAAAATTGTTGATTTCATAGCAGTTAAATCTGAATAGGCACATGCACAGCCCTGGACAAACAAGACTCCAGCCTCGTCTTCAGCTCCTATGGGCCTGATCCTTGGTGCTGCAGGACATGGCCTCCCTGTCAGGGGCTCCTTCCTCACCCAAGGGCTCTCACCTATGTGACTGGGCCACGGTCCCCTTCTCCTTGGGGCCAGTTATACTTTTCTTTCCCTCATGGTCCCAGACAAGCAGAAGTCCTTCCTTCAGGGTCCCTACCCATATCCAAGGGCATCACTGTAGGGGGCAGGTCAGGGAGACCCCCTGAAACAAGCAGGCAGAGTCTGAGCTGTGGAGAGGCCATGTCATCACGGAGCCTCCCTGGGGAGTCAGGCAAAATCGTCACCCCTTCCTGCTGTGCGGATGGTGTCAGTGACATGCTGAGCTCCAGGCAGTGGGCTTATACCAACCCTGAGACTCCAAAGCTTCTAGAGTTTTCTCTCATCAGATTCCCTCAGCAACCCTGTGAAGCAGTGCCACTCATTTCCCCCATTTTATGGACTAGAGTCTAATGCCCAGAGAAGTTGAGTTGAGTTGTCACACAGCCTGGCATTCCCATTGCTGGGTCCAGGATCCTCCTGTTTCCTAATGTGCCCCGTGCGGCAAGCACGTGGCTGTTAACCATTAGTAACATTTCCTGAGAACTGGCCTGTTGCAGGCTCTGCGAGAGGCACTTGCACCAGAGGTTCTCAGCTGGGACCAGTTCCTGTGAACATTGTATCTTTGGCAATGTCAGGACATACCTTTTAATTGTCCAAAAAATTTATTTGAATGTGAAGTTTAGCAAACTCATTAAAACGAATTATGAAAGGGACAGAAAAATGGAGAATCAAACACCATGCTGTCCAGGTGACCCTTGCACAGGAATGGCACTGGAACCAGCAATTACTGTCCAGCTGGCTTACGAAGGCTCCTGAGAAATGAACTCAAGGGGCAGTAAATAACACAACTTTTCCTGAATATAAAGCAAAGATCTCTGGAGATGTTTTTATTGTCACCACTGCCTGAGGAGTCACTCCTGGCATCTAGTGGGTCGAGGACAAGGATGCTGCTAGACATCCCAGTGCACAGGGCAGCTGCCACCGTAGGAACAACCAGCCCAAATGTCAGCGGTGCACATGTGACCTCTCACCCTCACAGCAGCTCTGCTCCACTCTGCAGGTGGGAGCCCGGGAGCTCAGAGACAGGAAGTAACTCGCTCTAATGGTTACACTGCAGTGAGCACCTGGATCAGGACTCGCACCCAGGACTCTGCCCCAAAACCTGGCTCGAAGCCACAATCCTGCCTCATTGTCAGGGACTGTAATCCAAGGGGATGCCAGCAGGTCACAAAACCCTAAAGATACATGCATCATTGTATGTGCATGTTTCTGGGGGGCATCCCAGAGCTTGTATCACCTTCTCTAAGAGATCCACGTGCCCCCAGTTTAGGAGTCCCGGCATGTAGGTTAGAGAGTGAGCGTTTTTTTGCTGAGAGGGTGATAGGGAGGTTGTGGTTTCCATCATGAGTCATCTCTCTTGTGTAGACTCACCCGCCGTGCGCTTCCTTCTAGAGATTCCGACTGACGCTGGTTCATTGTCTTTCAGGCAATCGCCCCTTTGCTGGAAAACAACCATCCGCCACCAGATCTCTGTGAATTCTTTTGCAAGGTATGGCATGGCAGAAGTGGGCTGCGTCTGCAGGACCAGCCTGCCTCCCTGTGTGCGCGCTGGGGGTTGGCTTGGCACAGTTTGTTCAAAACCCAGGGCCCTGCCTTGGACACAACTGGAAGGCAAGCCAGGTACCCTGTTCTTAGGATTGCAGCCCCCTCTCGGTCACACAGGTGATAATCGAGGCACAGGGTCCGGGAGGAGTGTCCAGCTTTTCCTTGGAATGTCTTTGTGGCTGTCTTGGGAGAAGTTTGCAGCAGATTTTCTGGGCTCCTGACGTCAGCTGGGTTATTTTTAGCCAGGGCTCCTCTGAGCACCAGCTGGCCCACAGTGGGGGCATGGCCGTAGGGCTTTCCTGAGCAGGGAAAGCAGTCAGGGGATGCCAGGTTAGCTGAGAGGAGCCGCGGAGCAGGGCACCCGCTCCCAGGGACACAGCGCCAGCCTCGCAGTGGGATTTACTCGGAACATGTCCAGGGCACGCTGGGGACCAGGCATCCCTCATCCTGCCAGCTCACTGCAGCGGCCTGGGGCTGAACACAATCTGCTTTTGTTCTTTGCTGTGTGATTTTTTTGTGTCATAATTTAATGTCCTTGGAAAGGCGAGGGCCTAGGTCTGCTGCTTCTCAGCCCTGCCCTGGTCTCTCCTAGTGACTCACCTCGCTGCGTTCCTTTCCTCCCACGTGGCCTGGCAGAGCGGACCTTGGGAGGCCTGATGGTTCTGAAGGAAAGGACACTGGGGTACACCTACTGCCCTTACTCAGGGAGTGTGCGCTCTCTCTGTGTTTGTCAGGTGACACGAGGTTTAGAGAGACAGGATTGTGTCATCCTTTTTGGCCCTATCTCTCCATCAGGAGACCTTTTTCAGCGACCCACAGAGCAGAGGGTGGGCCCAGACTGCTGGCCGGAAATGCCCAGGGTACATTTCTTAATGTGGGCACGTGCCAGTGTGTGCCCTCCAGTCCAAGCAGGTAAGGGGGGTCCAAGTGAATGAGTGCCCGACTCTGCAGTGATACGTGTGTGTGTGTGCGTGTGTGTGTGCGCGCGCGCGCACAAGAGCATGCTTGCACACAGGCGTCAGGCTCCTGTGCTATATCCAGGCCCCGCAACAGCTTGGTGAGACTGCAGATGGGATGGGCCTCCCTGCCCCTGAGAGGATGGGTCAGATAACCCAGTGCGTGGGCTTCTCACCTGTCACAGCTGGTGTCCTCTCTTCTCTTGATATTTGGTCCAGTTTAATCCAGATCTGCCTTTTGTCTCCTTTCAGCTGTATGGTTTCTCCCAGATCGCATGGTTTACAGACTTGTTCTAGCACAATGGAGTAAATGGTAGCGCAGATTAAAAACAGTGATGAGACCAAACCCTGCTTTGGGCACTACCTGGTAGGACTCCCCATTGATTCTAAAAACAGAAGGCTGCCCTCCCACCTGGAGCAAGGGGTCCCAGCCCAGGGGGGGCCTGTAAGCCTTCTGGCTGTTTTCCCCCGGAGGGTGAGGAGGGTAAAGGCATAGCCTCAATGCCTCACCTACCAGGCAGCCCTCCAGAGAAGAGAGCTTGAGGGGAACAGAGCCACCCCACCAGGTCCACTCTGGCCAGCTCCGGACACGCCGGGCAGTCTCTCCTGCCAGACTTCCAAACTGGGACCTCAAGAGCTGAGGGAAGTTAGTGATCTTAATTCCCCAGGAAAGCCCTGATTTCTATAATAATATCCCAAGAACGGCGTCTTCCTCCAGGGCTGGGAAACAGCACCTTCAGGCCCAGGCAGGCTGAGCGTGTGCCGCAGGGGTGGGCTCTGGTCTGCTCCACCCGAAGCCTTCAGTTTCCGTTTGAAATCAAAGCACCATGCCCGGAACACTCAGAGCTGCATTTGGCCTGCAAACTGCTGCAGGTTGTCAAAGCCGGCAATGGAAAAGCCACACCCCTAGTGTTCTTGCAGTGGTTACGTGGAGCTCCTGTGCCAGGCCCTGCACTGGGTCTTAGTGCTGCAGTCTCACCGCACTAAGCAAGGGCCAAGTCAGAACCGCGCCTTCCCGCACCACCTGGTACACACTCAGACTTCAATATCAGAATAAAAAGCAAACTAAACTTCCTTCCTCACCCACTTTTCTTCCTCCAAAAATATGAACAAAGAGCTATGCAACACTGTTCAGCAGGGAGCCCAGGCCCCGTGCTGAGCTCCTGGGCCAGGGGCCGCAGGCTCAGCGCCAACCATGTCCTCCTGTCTCCCCAGCACTGCAGAGAGCGGCCCCGGTCCATGGTGGTCATCGAGGTGTTCACGCCCGTGGTCCAGAGAATCCTCAAGCATAACATGGTGAGTCTCCCAGCACCGACCACAGAGCCAGGGGGTGGGCACACCTTCCCGGCCTTTCACTTCCACAAAGATTTTGGGTTGGGATTGGCCGCCCTGACAGCAGGGACTGGGGCCGGGATTCTGTTGAAGTTGGGTTTGCATGTGGCCTGTCCCCTTTGGTTCTTTGTTTTTCTGTTCCGGCGACAGGAAGAATCTCTTCACAGGAGGTAAGAATAACAGAAATAGCATGGCTCGAGGAGAAGAGATGGTCTCCCGTGTACAGTCCCATATGGTGTCTGTGAGATACTCCACTCTCAAGGAAGGAGCAGAATGCCTCCCTCCTTCACTGGGGGCTGTTCCTAGTGAGGACCCTCCAGAGCATACAGGATGGAGAGGGGACAGAGTGATCGTACTGTGGGGAAACCTGACAGACTCCACAGGTGACTGAGGTCAGCCAACTGTGATAGGAACGGTGATGGTTGGGCCTTTACCTCTGGAGTCTGCCTCTCAAACCCACAACCCCAGTCTGATCAAGAGGAAAATGTCAGACCAGTCCCAGTTGAGGGACATGCTGCAAACCCCTGACAGTGCTCCTCAAAGCTGTGCAGTCAGTACAAACAGGACAGGCGGAGAACTGTCCCTTGCAGAGAAACCAAGGAGACACGACAACTACATGTAATGTGCCCTGTATGGGACCCTGAAACAGAAAAGACATTAGGGAAAAACGGAAGAACTCTGAATAAAGTATGAGCTTTAGTTAGTTTAAAAAAAAACACACCCTGGCTGGTTTTGCTCAGTGGGTGGCTCAGTGGAGACCAAAGAGTAGCGGGTTCAGTTCCCAATCAAGGGCATGTACTTCAGTTGCAAGTTCGATCTCCAGGATTGGTCAGGGCATGTGTGGGAGGCAGCCAATCAATGTGTCTCTCTCACACTGATGTTTCTCTCTCTCCCTTCTGCCCTCCCTTTCATACTGTCTGAAAATCAATGGGAAAAAATATCCTCTGGTGAGGATTTAAAAAAATAAAAAAAAAACAGTGGCAGCCCAGCCATAGCCAGTTTTGCTCAGTGGATAGAGCATTACCCTATGCGAACTGAAGGGTCCCAGGTTTGATTCTGGTCAAGGGCACATTCCCAGGTTGTGAGCTCGATCCCCCAGTGGGGGCCATGCATGAAGCAGCTAATCAATGATTCTCTCTCATCATTGATGTTTCTATCTCTCTCTCCCCTTCCTCTTTGAATCAACTAAAATATATTTAAACAAACAAAACAGTGGCAGAATTGCACACTTACAATGGACCAGGTGCTCAAAGTCTGTGTGGCCCCATTCATCTCTGATTGGTCCAGTGAAGACAACAGGTATCATTATCTCCTCCACATTACACCTGGGAAACTGAGGCAAAAGCATAACTAACATTTATCACACCCCCTTAGAGCCTTAGAGTGTGACCCTAAATGTATTGTCATTCACCCTTGTGACGGTCCATGACCTTCCTTTACAGATGAGGGGCTGAGACCAGAAGGTCCCTTAGGGAACCTGTGAGCAGCCGTGAGGGCTTCTGGCGCTGAGGAGCAGGCAGACTAAAGTGAGGGCCTGTGTCCAGTGTGCCAGCTCCCAGCCCAAACTGCGGTTCACCTCGATGACCCAGAGCCATCTCTGTCATCACTGCGCAGATCAGCCATGTTGTGAGGTGCCTGTGACTGCTGCCCGGCCCTGTCAGGATTTAGCATGTTGAAAACAATTCTGAAAAAAAACCTGCCAACAGTTTACTTTGTGAAGTAGCTTTCCACCTCCACAACATGCCCTAATGGAGATTACATGACCCCCTCCCCCAATCAGGAATGGCAATGCATGGTGGCGGACATCATTCATCAAATGCAGCACTCTTCCCACAGGCCCAGAGGTGGCTTAAGACTCTCTACCCAGTGGTGACCAGTTGAACCGTGTTGGTCCATTACGAATTCTGTTTGAATCTGGTGATTCACCATAATTAAATTGTTGCTTGTTTCTGAGATCTTTCTTGGTTTAAGATAAGTGCATTTCTTATTTTCTGAGCACAGAGGAGAAGGATAGTCTATTTGATTCTTTCTCCAGGACTAAAGAAACTCATCTTTTTGTTCTGCCTTGATTTGGGCTTTAATAGTTTCAAAGGCACTCTGGCTTCAGCTACCTCAGGAGGAAAGGGTCTCTGATTGTTGATTTTAAATCAGAGATGTGGTGTGAGAAGAGGGCAGCACCCTTTCAGAGTCCAAAGCAAAGGTTCTGCAGTTTCACAACTTACCGGTGACAGAGCCTTACCAAGGGCATACTGGGGCCAGCCCAGACCTCCCCAGGCACATAAGCACTTCTGCATATTTCATGGTAGTCAATAGACTTTAATAAGGGTTCTTTGAGGACATCTGATTTCAAAGGGGAAAATTTCAAAATTCAGGCAGCCTCCCATAGCTTAACCATACAACATCTCCCTTATATTTGGCTAATTTTATGGGCCTGGAGTGTTGACCATGTAATAATTTTCTGGATAAAAATCAGAACAGCTACAGGGCAGATCCAGAATTTATAGCTCTGTTGTGGCCTGGCAGGCATCAGAGCCCTCAGGCACAAATTCTTGCTTCACTTTTAAAGAACTTCCCTAAGAGACTCTGGAGTCTGAAACTGCTATAAAGCGACTACTAATGACACACTAAGTTGGGAGAGAACTGAGGACGGAACAGGGGAGCACCCCTCCTGCAGCACAGGTGTGTGAGAAGCAGTGATTGCCGCTGACACCAGGTGCAGAGAGCGCGGCAGACCTTCCATGTCACCATGTAACTCTCCTGCAGTAGTAATTGGTCGTAGGCCCATGCACCATTTTGGAGCTGGGCCTCTGAGCTGATGTGGGGAGTCTAGTCACTGGTTAGTTAGTGAGTGTGCCTCCTCTGCCACCAGCCACATACCTGTCAGCATAGTGTGACTTCTCTGTGTACAGTGTGTTTTATTACGGGCGCATTTGGGGAAATGGGGGACATCATACTGCACAGGGGTGTTCTGGAGTTTCAGAGCTTCCTCTATTCTGGGGGTACATCTTCTGCAAATATATCATGTGCCCAATTTCATAGATAAGCAAACTGAATCTTAGAGAGGTTAAGAGTCTCAGAGTATTACTCATGGAACAGAAATGAACACTCGATTCCAATGGAAGCAGTCCTTTGGTGTGTTCCCCTGTAGATCCTGAACAGTTTGTTAAACTGTGTCTCCTAGAATGACCATGGTCCCTGTGTGCACACACTGCTCATTGGAGTGTTCTTGTTCTGGCAGAGGAGGCAAGAAGATGTGACTGTGGTCCCCAGTGGACCATGGAGTGATCGGACCTACTTTCCAAGGGGAGCATATTTGACTTTTCCAAAGAGGAAAAATGTCCTTCACTTTCTTTTTTGTTTTTTTAAAGAATCGTTTATTGGTGTGGTGTTTTTTTGGGGGGTTTTTTTTGGGGTTTTTTTTTGGGGGGGGGGGTTGAGGTGGGGTTTGTTTGTTTATTTTTAGAAAGAGAGAGAGAAATATTGATGTGAGAGTATAGCATTGATTGGTTCAAGCCCACAACCTAGGCCTGACTGGGAATTGAACTGGCAACCTTTTAGTGCATGGGATGATACCCAGCCAACTGAGCCACACAGGCCAGGGCCTGCATCCACATTTCAAAAGGCCACCAGACCCATTTGTAGTGTTCATTTCCAAGGAAATGGCCTTGGCTATCCAGAAATCTAATAGCAAAGATAGCAGTAGTTACTTTGCAGGGTTGAATTGAAGCAGTTTACATAGCATCACAAAACCTTAGAGGTAGAAGCGTTTAGAAATCGGTTCTTTTAACCCTTTTTTACGGTGGGGACACAGGGAGGACCGGCAGCCAGAAGCCACACAGCTTTCCTGTCACCCATTTCCAGGGTCTCAGGGATCTTTCTCACCTTGAAAGCACAATCAAGCTCAGCGTTGTGATCATGCATGGACCTCATCTTCCACCTCAGTGCTTTGTGTGTGCATGCATGTGTATACACATTTGTGTATATGTGTGTGCCCATATGTGTGAATGTCTATGCATATAAGGGATGAGTGTATGCATACACGTGTATTTCTCCATGGCTTCTGCTGCCCTCCTGAAGTAAAGGCTCAGCCCTGGTGGACAGGGTGTCATCAGATGAGCCCCAGATTGTCCTGAGGACCCTGACTCAGGTGAAGCAGTCGCAGCTCTAGAGATGCTCCTGTGCACGGTCGGGCTCTGGGGGACATTCTGTTTAGCTCCCATAATGTCCTGGGGACCAGTTGGGTCCTTAAGGAAAGTCTCCTGGCTTTGTTTTAGATTAGAGCCCTGATTCAGGTTGCTTGCTATTCATTGGGTTTCACAAAGTGGGGCATTAGGAGGGACAGATGCATTTGGAGACCACCAGTTGCTCTCTGTCTTGTGACCACAGATTGCCCCTCCCAACTGTTCAAAACGCAGCTCACAGCTTTAGCCGTGGAGTAACAAAGCCTCTGGATCCCTAACTGCAGACCCCAGGCCTCTCCTGGCTGACCTCCTCTCTCCCGCTGTCTCCTGACGAGTCCAGGAGCCGACAGCCTTTCCTCTCCAAGCTCACCCGTCACCCACCACGTTACTTGCGGCACTTGGGGAGCTGAGACGATGTCCGTCTCTAATAACATCATTGAAGTAGGAGGGTCCCTGTGTCTGTGCTCAGTGCCCCTTAATTAGGCTTCAGCTGAGATAAGACAGGCACCCATGGCCTGAGCTGGTTGGTGGAGACAGAGTGTCCTTCCCCCCAATCCCAGGGCTGAGCTTGAACAGATTATTCCTCCTCCCCATCCTCCTCTCCCTCTCCTTCTCCTCCTCCTCCCCATCTTCCTCCTCCTTACTCCAGCCTGTGCCCCATGTATCAGCCACCTTCCCTCTGCTCCCACTCACCACCCAGCACACAGACCTTCCCACCAGGCCTCCTCTCCCCCACACACAGACCACTCCTACCCTCATGTCTCACACACATCCCCTCTCACACTCCACATCTCTTACACACACCTCCTCTCACACACATCCCCTCTCACACTCCACGTCTCTCACACACATCTTCTCTCACACCCCACGTCTCTCACACACACAGACCACTCCTACACTCACATCTCTCATACACACCCCCACTCACACTCCACGTCTCTCACACACACAGACCACTCCTACACTCACATCTCTCATACACACCCCCACTCACACTCCACGTCTCTCACACACACAGACCACTCCTACACTCACGTCTCTTACACACACCTCCTCTCACACCCCACGTCTCTCACACACACAGACCACTCCTACACTCACGTCTCTTACACACACCTCCTCTCACACCCCACGTCTCTCACACACGCACCCTCTCATATCTCATGTCTCTCACACACACCTTCTCTCACACCCCATATCTCTCACATACACCTTCTCTCACACTTATCTCTTTCACACCCCACATCTCTCCCACACTTCCTCTCACACTTATATCTCTCTCACACACACACCTCTTCTCACACTTATGTCTCTCACACACACACACACCTCTTCTCACACTTATGTCTCTCACACACACATCTCCTCACACTTATGTCTCTCACACACACACCTCTCCCACACTCCCCATTCCACACACACACTTACTTGTCCCATCAGCTTTTTTGACCTCATCCTTCTGCGTGATCTGCCTTTTGGATCCCATGTGCCTTTTGAGGGTGGCTTTTTTTAGCCAAAGTCATCAGTCACTCTTAAGTTTAGTGTGGAGCGCAGTGGGTGGTTAGGGTCAGCCAAGAGGAGAGGGAGCCCCCCGAGGAGCCCTGGACTGCAACCCTCCCCACCGGGGGCCACACCTGGTGTCCGGGCCGCCTCTGTCCTCTCACACAGGAGAAGCTGTCTCCTCACTGAGGATGTCTGAACACCACATTTGCCTCCTTCCTAACCCCAAGAAGTCCCAAAGCGACCCCCAAATGGATGGCCCCAGATTGGGCACCTCCTGACTCTGCTGTTCTGAGTGGCGTCGGGTGGGAACCCAGAGGAAGCAGGCACAGAACCGGCAGGGGCCGCAGGAGAGACATCTCATCTGCTGCCTCCCGGGCGTGCTGGGAGGCCTGGCTCCGTGTCTGCAGTCCCTCGTGGCCCTGCACAGGGAGGCCCTGTGGCTGTTTGCCGACCATGACTGCGGCATGCTGACCCTGCCCACCACACGGGTGACTACCCATGCTGGTAACCTGCCTATCACAGGACAGGCGTGTTCTCTATTGTCAGCCATCACAGGTGTAAGCATGAGTGTCACGGGGACAAGTTTTTGAAGAAAAAATGTGAATATATGTGCTTTCTAGAAAGGGATGGTGGCTGGTATTTCCTAGCTGCTTTCTGCACCAGTGGCTCCAGGCAGAGTGGTTCCTACTGCCCCTGCTGGTCTCCTGCCTCTTCTTCAGCGAGTCCCAATCCTATCCTCTGTTCTTCGCAGGACTTTGGGAAGTGCCCGCGACTAAGGCTGTTTACTCAGGAGTACATCCTTGCCTTGAACGAGCTCAACGCAGGGATGGAAGTGGTGAAGAAGTTCATTCAGAGGTGGGTCTCCCAGCCGACCCCTCCCCCGGCCTGTGAGCCAGCTGTCCTTCAGTCCAGAACCAGGCCCTCCCTGGGAGCGTCTCCTCTTCTGCGAGGGTCTCCTGGATCCTCCTGACCACCTGGTCTCAGGCGCGCGCTTACTGCGCGGCATTGAGCCAATTGCTCAATGATCCCGTGTCCTCCACACGGGGATTGTGTGATCAAATAGGACGATGCATGCGGAAGCCCCTAGTGTGCCTGCTGCTCAGTGGGAACTCAGGAAGTGGGAATGTCCTGAGGAATAGGAGCGTTTCCATGGTCCCACATCCCTGGGCTGCGCTGCCCGGCATGTAGGAAATGACCCCCTGCGGCCCCTCTGGGGACTTGAACAGCTTCCTCCCAAACTTGGCTAAAGGGAAGCCAAGTATTCTGATTCCTACCCCCTTCTGGGGTTTTGCTTTGATTCTTAAATATTTTTCTCTGTGCCTCAGTTTCCTAATCTGTAAATGAGAACCGCAATACCCACTCCATCCAGTTGAGGGCTTTGGTGACCTAATACGCAAACACTAAGAATAAGGCATAAATGTGATGGGACCATTAGTGGCCACTGTCATGACTCTTCTTATTTTTTAAGAAAATCAAAATATCCTGGGTAAGCCAGTTCTGAAGTTGCATTCTTCCTAAATATACTCACCTGCCATCACAAAGCATTTCAAAACGCAAATGACATTCCCTCTGCCAGAGTAGGGGTGACTCCAGGGTCCCTTTAAAGCATCCAGCTAAGATTTGCAGAGATTTTTAGGTTAGTCCCAGTGGCCACAGTGACTTTCCAGGAATGTTACAGGTATTATCTCCAGGACCCAAACTGTCCCATTTTACAGGTTAAAAAACTGAGGCACAGAGATACCCATGATTAAAAACAGTTGCTGCATCTACCGAGGCCTTAGCAACTGTGTTTCAGACCCCATGCCAGGTCAGGGTGACCATTCTAATTTTTCTTCCAAAGCAGGACTCTTCTGAGAGTGAAGTGAGGTGTTATGAATAAAGATTTCAGGACACCCCCCCCCCCCCCCCTGGTATAAATGTGCCTGACCAGGCCGCATGGCCACTTTATGCAAAGTCTTCCCATGATTTCGAAAATTGGGTTCTTGTTGTTACCCAGTAAAGAGGGGACTGTAGTCCCCACTTTATAGCTAAGTAAACAGAGTGGAGAGTTAAGCAATATGCCAAGACCGCTCAGCTGGATTGAACCCAGGCACAGGGATCCAGAGCTCACAGCTGGACCTTGGTTCTCTGCTGCCTGCACATGGCAGAACCAGAACCCAATCCCGGTATTGCCAGCTCCCCAGCAAAAGGCTCAGCGTGCTCCCCCATGACCGCCTCAAACTGTGCCTGGCCTCCCCCCGCCTCTCAGCCATGGTACCACTCCTGCAGCCGCCTCTCACCCTGCCCTCTGCTCTCTTCCAGCATGCACGGCCCCACAGGGCACTGCCCTCACCCCCGGGTCCTGCCCAACCTGGTGGCCGTGTGCCTGGCTGCCATCTACTCCTGCTATGAAGAGTTCATCAACAGGTCAGTCACCGTCGCCACGGGAAGGGCTGGGGTTACCACCTCAGGGTGGGGACAGTGAGAGGGCGGGTCACCAAGGACGGTGGCCTGTACATACCTGACCACCCCAGGGAGGTGGAGTGGCTTTCACCAGGCCAGCCTCCAGGGAGTTTGCCAGATCCCATGTGCTCACTGATTCCAGAGCCCAGAACCGGGATTTGCTGGAAAAACAAACACTGAGATTCAGTACCGGCATCTGAAGGCTGTTGTGTTGACTGGGCATTGGGAGCAAGTGTTTTATTCTGAATATTTCTCACCACCTGGCATGCGTGACACATTGGAGCATGCGTGTGAATGCATGTACGTGTGTGAGGGAGAATGTGTGCGCACATGTGGGGGTGTGCATGGGGAGTTGTGTGTCCCCTGTGCGAATGTGTGCAAGTGTTTGTGAACCCCAGGAAGCACTGGCGAGAGGACAGATAGTAGAAACCAGACCTGTGTTAGTAAGCAGGTGACCACTGCAGGCTCCTGTGCATTCCCCACTGGACATCCTGGGAGACTTCGGGGAACAGCCTCAGAGTTACTCCTCTGGGGGTGATGCCACCACTGCAGTTATTTACCAGCTCCCAGGCTTCCGTAAGTGAGGATCACTCTTGGGGTGCAATGACGCAAATGCCATCCATTTGTGTAGAACTTTTCACAGTGACCTCTGAGGTCACTGGAGAGGGTACGATGTGCAGGGCAGATAATGGCATTGGCTGCTGCCACCTGGTCTAGTTGATCAGGTGGCACACAGCACCACTCCAGGGGCACCAAGTGTGTCGGGATCCAGCAGGAATGTATTTCAGCCCTTAAGGAAAAGGCAGTGGAGACCCTCTGTCCCTGAAAACCTGCCCATGGGCTTCTAAGCGAACACTGTACTGGAGTTCTTGGGGAAAGGGCCGCAAAAGAACCTCAGTAAGGGGGTGTGTTGTATGGCAGGGCTTAAGGGAGGACGGCTATTTTTAATGTCCTCAGCCCCAGGTCCTGACATTTAAAGGGGAGCATGTCCACCTTGTTCAGAAAAAGGTGACAGTGCCCTTGAGATCCGAACATGAACATGCCATGCTGACCATTCCCAAGTGCCTTTGTATACCCTGCAACATGTTATATCACGTAAAGAAGAGGGCCAGAGGGTAGTGCACGTCCCAGCATCCCTATGAGTGGTGCTCACCCTGACCTCGCTGCCCTGGCTCTGGACCCAATCTGATCTGCGTGCTTTTCAAACTCAGGCCACCCCAGGAAGCAGGAAGAGCATGAAGTGGTCACTGTGTGTGTGTATATGTGTGCGCGCGCCAGGAGAGGTGAGGAAGGGATCCTTCAGCAGGTGATATTTAAGTTGAGACCTCCCAGCTGTTAACTAAGTAAGAGGCAGGGTGAGGTGATGCAGTCAGAGAGAACAGAGCGTGCAAAGGCCTGGCAGAGCAGGTGAAGTCGTCATTAGTCATTGTCTACCTGTGGTTAACCACCTGCTTCAGGATCCCATGAACTGCTTCTTTAAAAAGCAGATGCCTTGATGTCCCACCTTGGGCTCGAGCCCAGGAATCTGCTTGCTTGGCTAGCTCCTCCGGTGACCTGCTCCACCCTAAAGATGAAGGGCCACAGCAGAGAAGGAAGAGAAGGGAACTGTGACTGCAGCAGAGAAAGGGAAAGGAAGAGAAGCAAAAGATGATGTTGGGGAAGGGGGCCGGCCATGGACTGCTGGCTGCTCAAACCTCCTGTGCTGAGCTGCTCCTGGGAGTTGTGTGTCAAGTGCAGGTGCAGATGCAGCAGGCGTGGGGCAGGCCTGAGACTCAGCTTGTCTAGCAGGCTCCCAGTAATGCGGATGCTGCTGGCCGGGGACCACTTGTTGAGTGGCAGAGCTGTGCCTGCATTTCAGTTGCAGAGTTTTTATTCAGGGAGCATTGGCATTGCTAATGGGCTTTCAGTTAAGAAGGGGCTTGATGAGATGTCAGCTTCCAAATTCCCCTCTGGCAGCGGCTGCACGAGGGGAATTTGGACGAGAGGGGCAAGCATGACCTTGGAGGAGTCACGAACGGTGGTTATAACCAGGTGCCCAGGGTGGAGGCACAGGGTTATTAGAACGCACGTACCCCCTCAGAGCCCACTGTGGTTTGGGTTCCAAGTGATGTCATTAGTTCCCCCAGGAAACCACCCAAGGGTCACAATCCTGGGAGACCTTTTCCGGGCTCAGGTCCATCCCACCCTGTGGGCCAGTCCCTGGAAGATAAAACTCCGTGATGTGCTCAGGGCCCATCCGCGGTGCTCCCAGTGGTACGTGATGTACTCATACAGAGCAGACAACTTGACCCAGGTTAGCATGGCTCACTGGAAAATCACCCTCTGTGCCAACAGCCTTGAAAATCTTCTCCTAAATCCCGGCAAAGGCAAACCAAGGGAAATGGAGTGTTGCGCATTTGAGCAGCAAATTAGCCCTGAACCCATAGAGATAGTTACGCTGCCCTCCCCACACAGACCACACACAGTTTTCCAACAACCATAGAATTTTCGGACTTCAGCCCATGGCGTTTGTTTTCCCCCAGCAAAGTTTACAGTGCATTTATCAAGCATCCTTGGTGGGCTCAGCTCAGGCCTGGCTCATGGCACGTGCTGGATAAGTGCAGGCCCTCCGTGTGTGTCGGGTTCGAGTTCTGCGCTCAGTCCAGTCCTTGTGCACGAAGAGGACATGCATCTTTGGAAGTATGGGGCACAGGCGCATGGCACATTCAGGCAGGGACTGCACGGGTTGTTTGTGACCATACCGTTGTGCTCTGAGTCTGCCTAAAAGCTCAAGGAGTTCTGATCTGATTGGGCTTCGGGATGTTTAGATGTGCCTCAAGGGACACTGGTGTCCAGCCAGGGATGGAAAGCTCTAATTCAAAGACAGGGTGGGTGTGGCAGGTGGAAGAAATCAGAGAAAACTTCAGGGAGAAGGAGGACCTGCACGGGATTATATGGGATCTTGGAAGCCACCATGGTGTCAAATCCCAGCACCTTCCACTTAGAAGCCCTGTGGTCAAGCATAGGTCATTTGACCTCTGGCGCTTTTCTCACCTGTAACATGGAGATTGTATTGCCAGACACAGTCTTTGTGGTTGCACTTAGCACTGTGCCAGCCCAGGGGAACCAATGGAAACCCGTTGCTGGAGTTACCTTCCATCAGGCGTGCCTCCTGGTCATGCTTGGAAGCTGCCAGGGAAGAGGTGCTTCACCCGCTTCAAGGCACCGATTTCATTGTGTTTGGCCCAGCATTTTCCAAACAAATTACATCAGTGATGCATAGAGCCCTTTCTCAGTTAACACATTGCACATGGTGTTTGAAGGTGCTGCAAGGGGGCCTGCTGCAGATAGGAGGGACCTGCAGGCCCCAGGAGTTTGGTATTCTGGGGTTTGAGATCCCCTTGAAGAGGGTTCCCAGGTGAGGAGTGGAGGCTGAGCTTTCTCTCCTGGCCCATGATGGGGCCGTGGGGGCTCAGGGGCACTGAGCTCGCTGGAGCTGTCTGGTCAGAAGTGCTCGCTGGTCTTGTAGCTCACAGCTGTTAGGGCTCCAGGGCCACGTGACACCACCTGCACTCTCATACCCTCTCCTCTCTCCCCACAGCCGCGACAATTCCCCAAGCCTGAAGGAGATCCGGAACGGCTGCCAGCAGCCCTGCGACCGGAAGCCCACCTTACCTCTGCGCCTTCTGCACCCCAGCCCGGACCTGGTGTCTCAGGAAGCCACGCTGTCCGAGGCACGGCTCAAGTCGGTGGTCGTGGCCTCCAGTGAGATCCACGTGGAGGTGGAGCACACCAGCACTGCCAAGCCGGCGCTGACGGCCAGCGCGGGCAACGACAGTGAGCCCAACCTCATCGACTGCCTCATGGTCAGCCCTGCCTGCAGCACCATGAGCATCGAGCTGGGTCCCCAGGCTGACCGCACGCTCGGCTGCTACGTGGAAATCCTCAAGCTGCTGTGAGTGTCCCTTCTACGTGTCACCGGTGGGATGAGGGAGGGGACTTGACTTTTTGTCGTTTGTATTTACTGACTCGAGGCGTGCAAGGTGTGGGCATGCTTAGTGTGCACACTTGAGTTGGGGTGTGGGTACACATGAGCGTGAGTGCACATAGTATGCAAAGTATGAGGGTAGATGCACATATGCAAAGTATGAGGGAACACATTTTAGGTATGTATACATGTATGCTGGAGTGTCTGGGCACATGAATAGGTACGTGCACAAACATACATGTGCGTGAGCACCTGGGTGCCAAGTGTGACTGTAAGTCTGAACCTCTGCACATTGTGTAAGGTGTGCGCTCATTCTGAGTTTGTGTGTCTTTATATATGGGAATGGCTTTGGGTGTGTAGTGCGACAGCATTTGTGTGATTGCCTGAGCAGTCGATGAGGTTGGGCTCACTGTGTGTATTTAAGTGTACAGTGTGGGTGTATCTAGTCACTGTGCTGCTTTTATGCATGAGTGGTTTTGAATGCACACATGTGGGTATGAGTGTTTGTACACGAGTTACAGTGTGTGTTTCTCTGTGTTAATGCAGGTGTGTCCATGAGCCAGCGTGTGTTTGTGTTGTGTGATCTGTGCATGCTTGTGTGCTCAGTGTAGTTGTCTGCTTTTTTTAGGGGGTGGGGGGGCTGTGGGTGTCGGTATGGTTGTGTGTGTGCATACATAGCAGTCTTCTGTAAAGGGCATATCTTTGGGAAGCGCCCCTGGGGTTGTGCTGAGGACCACACTCTTCCTCGTGAGCTCTCATGAGCAGGCAGGGAGGCACCTGCAGATCAGGCCCTGTGCAGTCCTGGCTGGTGGGAAAAGCTCAGATGGAGCCAGGGACCAGGTCTGTGCTGGATGTTTCAGGTCTCTCCCTACCCTCCCTGAGCCTCAGCACTGTGACTCTACAGTGGGGATCTGTATCTTTGACCCTTATGAGTCTTTCTAGTTCCACCACACAGACTCCTCTCAAATTCATGCCCCTAGTTCCTCGGTCCCCAGGTGAAGGGACCTGGCCTGGCTCTGTGGTCCCATGCCCAGCTTGGCGGGAGAATCCAGCAGATGCCTCACTGCTCGTTCCCACAGCCCTGACCCTCAGAACAGAGCTCGGCCCCTCAGGACCAAGTCCAGAGGTTGGCATTGCCAGGTGCAGTCAGTGGGATGGTGGGCTTTTCAAAGGGGTTGGGGGAGGGCATATGGCACCTGTCTGAAGTCTGGGCACCAGGCCCCTGGCTCTGGGGGCTCGTCAGGGCTGACGGGGTCTCTAAGGGCAGCTGCAGGCTCTGCAGCACAGGTTCAGCCTCTGGTGAACGTATTGCTGCCTGGAGGGTGCACAGGGCCCAGAGGGTGGAAGCAGCCTGCCATGCCTGCTGAGCCAAGAGCTAGTCTGGGGGGCCTAGGAGGTGTCCCGAGCTCTCCAAGCAGGGCTTGTTGTGTCTGTGAAGGTGAATACACGCACACACATGCACACACACATGTACATACCTACACACATCAGGCTCCGTGTGGTTGGAAAGGAGACTGTGGATGCTGCATCGCAGACACTTCCTCTCCTATCTAGGCCCTGAGAGAGGAGAGTGAGGCCTCCTGAGCTCAGCTCCAGCCTCACTGTGGTCCTAGCCGAAGGGGCCAGTGAGGGCACAGCCACATCTAGCGACAATACACACACACACACACACACACACACACACACACACACACGTCGAAGGAAATTTCCAGATTCTGCTCAGAGATCTCCTGGAACCGTGATCGGCAAACTGCAGCTCTTTGGCCCGTTGAGTGTGGCTCTTCCACAAAATACCATGGCCTGGACCAGTCTATTTTGAAGAAGTGGCATTAGAAGAAGTTTAAGTTTAAAAAATTTGGCTCTCCAAAGAAATTTCAGTCGTTGTACTGTTGATATTTGGCTCTGTTGACTAAGGAGTTTGCTGACCACTGTCCTAGAACATGCCCCACTTTCTTGCAGGAGTGTGTTCCGCCCTCCGAGAGACTCGCCGGTCACGGCCCTCGTATCCTCCTCGCCCGGTTGAGGCAGGGCCCCCAGGCCAGAGATGGCCCTGCTCTCTGCCCGGCCTGCCTCTGGCTGGCTGCCACAGGCACCTGGACTCCCAGGCCTTCTGCTGGCTCGGGCCCTGGCTCACATTAAGCACTAAGGGTTTGAGTTTCATCATGCAGTTCACACACATTTTTTTTCCTTTTTTGTAAACATGCTCATGAATGAGGACTCTGTTCTTCCTGATCTGCTTCCAGACCTCCTGCCTGCCCGCATGGCCCAGCTGCCAAGGCGCGGCGGGGGTCAGGGGCCCGGTCAGGGGCTGCCCGCTGGGAGCCGGAGGTGTTCTGACCGATGCACAGAACAGCCTTACCTCCGCCTTCTGTCTCCACAAGACAGGGTTACTATGGGGCGGGAGGGGGTTCAGAACTCAGGGTGGGCTTGCTTACTTTTCCCGAGCAGCTTGCCTTCTCCATCTCTGCTGCCTGCTTGAGTCACTGGTCCCCTGGAGGGCCTGGGACATGCTGGGCCCCCCCACGCCCTAGCACCCCAGAGCACGACAGCATGGGAAACATGGGAAAGAGCGCAGGTTCAGAGCCAGTGTGCTGGGCTCAAGGGCCACAGAGATATCAGCATTAGCTTGTGACCTGGGCAAGTAGCTCTTCTTCTCCGAGTCACAGCTGCCGCGGGGCAGTAGACGGGTGGAGGGCATGGCTCTGGGCGCCTTGCAAGTGTAGACACCAGGCAGATGGGCGTTACTACACTTCCTGAGTCCAGCTGGGTTTCCTCTATTTTAAGACACTATTGAGAGTAAGATGCATCGTTGATTTAACGACACTTTGAAAGGGAAAAAAATACCAATGTGGCATTCAAGGCTCATTGATGGCAAGAAGCATGCGTCTGGGGACTTAGGGAATGCATGCATGGCAATCTGCTGGTGATTGTGCAGCATTCTTGGCTCCTCTTGCCCTCATTGTACTGGTCTGTGAAATGGGTATCTTTCTCCGGGAGCTGCTCTAAGAATTTAGTGGCATGGGACCTTGCCGGCTGGTTCTTGATAAAAGAGGACTGCTGTTACCAATAGAGGTGCTCCCTGAATGAGAGTTACGTGTAAGAAATGAAAGAGGAGGCTCTAATTGGAACTGAGAGGTCTTAAGAGGGCATGGTGGGGGCAAAGGAAGCCAGGCTTAGCACCTTGGCCCAGTTTGTCAGCCCTATTCATCAGACCAGGCACTGCTGGTCCCCAAGTGTGAGTATCACGCCTCTCCCTCCCCCACTACCCCTCACTCACACATAACACAGGCCCCGGCCTTGGTTATGTGTAGGAAAGCCCACACATGGTTAGAATTTCACACCTCTGAAAGGAACGTAAGCCTCAAAAAGTTCCCTGGAGACCCTTGAAAAGGAGGACTATTCCCCATGCAGGTCAAGGTTGCTCCTGAAAATATCCCCTTGTGAGGCCCAGGCTGGGTGGTCTGACAGAGAACATGGACTCGTGAGCTGACAGAGCAGCTGGGTCTTTGGTGGTTTGGAGTCCAGCTCTTAGCCGGCTGGGCACCTGCATACGATTCATGTATTTATCCATCTGTTTATGCACTCCTTTATTGAGCATTTATTGCTCACCTCAGCTGGCCAGGCTCTGCTAGATGCCGGGGTCCCAGCTGCTCCCTCTGAATCTAGTGGCAGCAGCTGCTGAAGGCAATGACACCGCCCGCCGGTGAGAAGGAGTGGGAAACTGCTGGCCACACGGAGGCCACAGACAGGAAGAGCAGGGAGCAGCCATTGTGAGGGAGAGGGGCACAGGTCTGCGCTTTTTGATCAGCTCAACTCGGGATAGTTATTTTTGCAAAAACCTGGGTTTTAAAAGATGCCTGGCAGTCCAGAGGTCAGCTGGGAGATGCCCCAGCCGTTGGGGGCTGTTGGGAAAAAATAAAGGGGGGGGGGTGTTTCCTAATGACGGAAGGTGTAACTAGAAGTAGAAGGCAGGTGCCAGGAGGGGTCATGGGAAACGTGGTACATCACCCAGCATAATCCGCTCCGTGAACCGCCCCAGCCAGATGCTGCAGCTCCGCTGAGAAGAGACGCCAGGAGTTCGGTGCAGGGAAGGGGGGTTGGTTGAGAGCTTAGAAATCCTGTCTCATCTGTAAGTGGGGATCTAGAGCTAGCCTGGCCCCATTAACATGAGTGAATGTTGGGTGCCTGGAGCCTGAAGCTGTCGGAAGGCCTCACTGTCTTGTCTACTTCTGGGAGTGGGTGGTCAGGCTGCTCATAGCCCTGCTGCTCTCCCTCCCATCTCCGGCCTGCCCAACTCACCAAGCCTGAGGCTGGTGCTGCTCTCCAGATGCTCATGGCAGGTGCTTTGCTCTCCAGTCCTTGGTCCTGGCCAGCCCCCGGGCACCTAGCCTCCCAGTCTCTGCCCAGCATACCCATTGCACATGCTCAAGCTGGTCGGACCCGGACTTTGGAGCAGACTTGGAGCTGGGCTGGGCTGGGCAGGGGCGAGGAAAGAAGTGTCTGCCTCCTCCTTTCTTCCTCCTCTTATACTCTTTCCTGATCCCGTGTGAGCCATAAGGAGGCCAAGCTCCAGGCTGGAGAGACGAAGGAGGGAGAGGGCTTCCTTCCAGACCCCTGGCCTCCGCCTCCCACTGAGCTTAGCACCTGGGAACAGGGGACAGGCTTGTCAACATCCCTTTCCATTCCAAAGTGAGCCCTGGGCCAGGCTGTGTCATCGCCCTGATGGAGCCCAGCGTGTGCCCACACACTGGCACCACACCCACACTGATGACGAGGGATTAACGTGGCCTTCGAGTTTTCTGCATTGATGGCATTTTGCAAAGAACATATTTCATTATTTTAAAGAAAGAAGGAAAACTAGTGAGTGCCTTTTTGATAATGGGAAATGCCTTTCTTCACAGGTAGATGCAGGGACTAGGGTCTTGAGCTCACTGGGACTCAGTTTTCTTATCTGTGGCCTGGGGCCAGGCCTCTGGGAGGAACACCTGGCCCGATCCATGTGTATATCCACAATGTTTGCTATTACTTTAAGTTTTCTGGAAACCAAGAGTCAGTCAGTGGCAGGTGGGTGTTGCGAGGGAAGGGATTCCTGCAAAAATGTGACCCTTCCCCCAGAAGGAGGCTCTATGTCCTGATGTGCATCTGACAGGCCTCTGAGCACCTGTGCCCAGCCACCCATGGGTGGCACAGAGCGTATGCCCAGCCTTGGGCACTGGGATCCACGGAACCCTTGCCCCGTGCTTCCTTTTTGCCTGAACTCAGATGGTCACTGAGGTGCTCAGGGTCTCGTTCTCTCACCTGTAAAGCAGATGTGATTCTCCCTCATCCTTTAGTGCCTGATGTGAGGATTAAGCAAGTAAGTTCCTGCCCAGCACACAGCCTGGTAGGCGCTTGGTAACCCCCCCAGCCAGCAGCACTGTGGGCCACAGCTCAGGCAAACAGGCTTTTGGAGGAATTCTCCCCTGCATGTCCGGCGTTTGAGTCTTTCCTCCGAGTCCTGCAGGGTGTGGCTGGGTTCCGAAGGTGGACACTTGATCACCATGTGTTTGGAGAAGGTGGGGTGGGAAAGCTCTTGGGAGTTAGTGAAACCATCCCTTGGTGGTGGGGGCAAATACCAGTTCTCACTCTTCTTTGGTCTAAAGCTCAGGTGAACAAATACCACATAAACATACACAGTGTGTTGGAGAACAAAGGGGAGGATTCATCAAGAAAGCTCCTTGGGCCCTGACTGGGTGGCTCAGTTGATTGGAGCGTTGTCCCATACACCAAAGGGTTGCCGATTTGGTTCCCTGTCTGGTCAAATACAGGAGGCAACCAATCGAAATATCTCTCTCTCAAATCAATAAAAATTATGTCCTCAGGTCAGGATTATGGGTGGGGGGGGAGAGCGCTCCTTAGGGAGGGGGATGCGGGGGGGGGGGGGGGGGGTGCTTGACAGGAGACAGAGGGTACCAGATGAAAAGAAGGTTGAGAAACACTAAAGTTAACATGAAGGAGTTATGGGGTCAGAACCTGGCAGTGCAAACGCTCTGGGGCCTGGGAAGGCCTATCTGTCCTCAGGCTGAGGCGCTGCCGTTCTCCACGTTTCCTGACCCTCCCAGCTTCTCTGGGAGTTGGCAGAAGGAGCCGCTTCTTTAAGAAGCTGTTCCTGTGGGAGGGGAGCAGCCTCTAAGACAGAGCACTAAGTTAACTCTACAATTTTACCTATATGTTCCCAAAAATTCTAGTTTAGCACTTCTTAGTTGGGATTCAGGAATCTGTATTTTAACAACTCCACCAGGTGATTCTCATCATGAGAGAAGTTTGGGAAACACTGCTCTATAATAACAGCATATTAATTGTATAAATATATATAAATTACATATAATCATAATTTTGTGAAGAGTTAACGAACAGAGGTAAAGCTTTTGGCACATGCAAAGTGCGTGTCCAATGTATTGACAAAGTCGTAGCTGTTCTTATTTTTTCAGTATTATTATTATTACTACTACCATTGGTGTTATAATCGCTATTAGCAATAACTGTTTTTTAAGTTGTTATCTGGACACAGACTAGTAGTATCCAATATTTCAGGAGGGTTGACCCAAACAACAAATAAATAGACTATAATTTTTACTTTTTGTGAATCAGTCAGTTCTGGTTAATCAAAGATGAGAATGACTTTGTATTCCCAACCTAATCACCCTTGTATTAGTCTGTATTAGTCTGCCCAAGCTTCCATAACAAAATTACACAGACTGGCGGCTTAAACAACAGGTATTTATTTTCTCCCAGTTCTGGAGGCTGGAGCTGTGAAATCCAGGTGTGGGCAGGGTTGGTTTCCTCTGAGACCTCTTTCCTTGGCCTGTCGATGGTCATCCCGAGTGTCTGTGTCCTCACGTCCTCTTATAAGGGACCTACCCTGTGACCTCATTTCTTAGTCACTTCTTTAAGGGCCCTGTCTCCCAATACAGTTGGGTTCTGAGGACCTGGGGCATTAGGACTTCACCATATGAATGTGTAGAGGGTACATTTCAACCCATAACACCCCTGATAGTTCAAAAGATGGTACAGTGACCCCGTGGCCTGAGTCCCAAGCCAGGAGGGAGGAGATTCTGGTGAGCGGATGGCCAGCCCCTTCGACTGCCATAAAGAGGCCCCTGGACCAGTTCTGTCCACCAGGCTTCACAGCCATGCTGTAGCCACCAGCTGCTGTCCCAGCTCCCTGCTCACTGAGATGTCAGAGCAGAGTTGGTGCCATCTGAGCCTCTGCCAGACTCTCGCCCGGTCTGTGGCCATCCATGACAGCATGCTGCGAACCTCGCCCTTCCAGACCAAGCCTGACCTCACTCCTTTTCATTTTAGGTCTGACTACGATGACTGGAGACCGTCTCTGGCCAGCTTGCTTCAACCCATTCCATTCCCCAAAGAGTAAGTCCCACGCCCGCCGCCCGCCTGTAAGGAAACCCTGTGCCATCCGCTGAGTCCCTAAGCGGGCCAGTCCTGTTCCCACAGGCCCTCTGGGAACACCGAGGACGACAGCGGAGATGGAGCTGTGGTTCTCAGCTTCCAGACCCTTGGAGAGGCCCCCCTGGAAAATGGGGAGATCCCCTCATTGCATTGTTAGGATTCACTGAGTTGAGAGTGCAAAAAGCTGTCCCCACCGTGCCTTCATGCAATAAAGTTAATGATCTTGATTATGCATCAGATGGGAACAGTAATACCTGCCTCGTCTCTCTGAGGCCATGGTAAAAACATAAAAAAGCATGTGGAGTCACTTTACATGTCATACAGTGACATGCCAAAAGCTCTCTTATGTCCATTATGTCCGCAGTGAGTTGTCCAGAAACAGACCCTCTGCCTCTCTAGCCGGCTCTTGCCCCACTCCTTGTAATGAATTTATCACAGCAAAATGGGGAGACAACTGCTGAGGGTGATGGCCTGAGAGGAGAAGTGTTGAATAACCAGCCTCTGAAATGCCTCCAGGTCTCTTTCAATCGGCGGGGAGGAGCCAGGCCTCCAGAGGCAACCGGGCTCTCTGGAGCCGATTAGCGAGCCCGTGTTTATGAAATGTGGCTCTCTGAGGGGGACATTACACTCAGTAATTGCCCCATTTGCTGGCTGGGCTGGTCCCCAGGGGCCCCCGGGACCTGAGACCAGAGAAATCTGACTCCTGAGAGCCGCTGGTCTCCAAGAGCAGTGGCGTCATTGGCTGCATCCACTGGCCCCGCAGCCCAAGGGACACACTTGACAGTGGGCCCATGATGCAATTCGCCTGGAGAATATCCCCAAACGCCGCCCTGGTGCGCACCTTAATTAGTGCGAACACCTAACGATCACCCCTGGGTCCTGGTGTCCACGTGCAGACACACAAGCCACACGCATCCAGCCAGCGCCTTCCTGCTCACAGGGAGGGTCTGGAGTGGCTGGGGGGCGTGGGGCTCAGTCTGCTCACTCATCAAAGCAGGCTTTGCTTTGCAGCTTCAAGTAGGGACAATATGTCGGAGCTTCCTTCCAGCTTCCTGTCCATTCTTTGAGTCAGTCATAGGGCCTACCATCCCCAGAGGAAGAACTCTGGATGGTTGCCCTGCTCCAGAAGCTCCCTGCTAACCACACTCTCCCTTTGTTTTTGTTGCAGAGCCCTCGCGCACGAGAAGTTCACCAAGTGAGTATTTGGGCAGCACCCTCGTTACCTTCTTCTAGCGCGAGTGTCCTCTGTCCCAAGGTCATCCCAGCGGCCAGCCCTCCCTCCGTCACCCGCATTCTGGGAGGCAGCCAGGCTCCTCTGGGAAGTTCTTCCACACCCGTCCAGGCCCATCCAGGAGTTTCCTCCTCCCGCCAGCTCCTCTGGGCTGGCTCCCCTCAGACCCGTCCTCGTCCACCTAAGCCCGGACCCTGGGCATGACTGTCCCCACCTGTCTCTTCCAGGGAACTGAAGTACGTGATTCAGAGGTTCGCCGAGGACCCACGACAAGAGGTAAGGCCTCCTTTCTCCTCCCAGCCCGGCCGTCAGGGCTCCAACAGGCTCCATCCAGGGCCTCCTTGTCACCCATGGGCATTCATAGCAGTTGACAAAGGCTCCTTGCCCTGTACATAAACATGCTCACCCTGTCTCAGACACACGTGTTCTCACTTAATCCTCATAACCCTGCCAGTAGGTTCTATTTATCCTCATTTTACATCAAAATTACCCCCTTTCGGAGGTGAGAAAACTGAGGTTGAGTTCCATCCCCAGGGTCGTGCAATTGGTACAGGCTGAGCAGGATTCGAACCCAGGGAATCTGGCTGTAGAGCCTGTGCAGTAATCAGCTCTGCAGTAGGCACACTAGGCCAAACAGGGCTGCGGAGACAGCAGGGTGCTGGCCCTACCCAGAGAAGCTGAGGCCACTCCTCCATGTGCATGAGTTTCCGAATGTGGAGTGGTCTGTCTCCTCTGTGCACACCGGTTTCCGGCTGCAGAGGAGAGAGCAAGCTATTGATGGAGCCTGAATATACTCTCCTCAGGCCATGCTGTAAAGCCTAGGTCCAGAAGGATCTAGAAAAGATCTAGTTCCAAAGCACCATGATTCTAAGCCCTGATCCAAAAGCAGTCCTGAGCCTGATTGGGATTTAGTTGAAGGCCGGGTCACTGACCGAACAGTGTCACTGCAGGACTTGCCCAAGCCCTTCCCGTGCGTGTAGATTGCGGTTCAGCATTAGGGTTGGTCTGCGTGGCACTGACCCTGTGCCTTCCCTCCCACAGGTGCACTCCTGCCTGCTGAGCGTGCGGGCCGGCAAGGACGGCTGGTTTCAGCTCTACAGCCCCGGAGGGGTGGCCTGCGACGACGATGGGGAGCTGTTCGCCAGCATGGTATGTGGGGGTCACCTTTCACGGTGAAGCAGAGCTGCCCGAGCCACTGGGCCACCCCGGGGTTTCCAGGCTAGCATGAGGCTGGTGAAAATGGGGCAGGGGAGCAGCTGTCACTCCTTTCCTGCCCAAGCCGGCACCAGCTAGGGGCCTGAACTCTGCCCCACTCATCTCACTCAGTGGTGCGAGGTGACGCTGTTACCCCATTTACAGCCGAGGGGGCTGAAGACGAGGTTAGCAGCCCAGGCCCATGCGTTCATCGTGGTTGCCATGTTAAGTCCAGGGCCTGAGCACAGGGGGTTGTAGGAGGCACCGAAGTCCGCCAGCTCATCGCATCCTGCAGTGGAGGCCCAGGTTGGGAGCTGAAGGAGACGGGGTGTGAGGTCACCAGACCGTGAACTGCACCGTGGTGACTGGTGCCTTTGTGCACTGTGCCAGACACCTCACATGCATGCCTCCTAATCCTCACAGCAACCCTAGCCCTTAGTCACATCCATGTGGAGATAGGCTCAGAGGTGCAGAGGTCACACAGGCCTTCCGACTTCTCGTCCTCTCCTAACCCAGGCCCAGGCTGTCAGAGCCGGCCCCTCCAAGTGGCAGAGTGTTCAGCTCCTGAGAGGAGCACAGGCTCCATCTCCCAGGCCAGATGCTCCTTCGGGTGACTGGCCACCTCAGTTGTTCCCAAGCCTGAGACAGTGAGAGTGTCAGCCAGGCCAGGTTGGAAGGCAGTGCTGCTACGCATTAGCGTGATGACCTTGGCTACTAACCTGCCTCTCTGGCTTCAGCTTCATTGTCTGTGAAACAGGGAGTATGGTGTAGTCTTTTGGGGTTTCCCGGGGGATCGGGTGTGATAGTGGGGTCAGGGGCAGGGCGCAGCAGTGCTCAGAAGGGAGGGCTCTGGTTAGTCCCATGTCTGCTGGGCGACAGTTCCGCAGGCGAGTGCTCATGAGGCTCACAGTGAGCCCAGCTGAGATCCTGCAGTGACAACTCCGCCAGGTGCCACCCCTGGAACTTTCTAGAAAAGGGCTTATCTTTAGGTCATTTTTCTTACGCACTCTCTCCATTCCTTACATCCCTTTGGAGTGCCCTGTGCATCCTGGAAGTGCTGGCCCTGCCTGCCTGCACCTCCTCTCACCTCTCCCTGCGGCTCCTCTGACGTCACAGCTTCACCATGACAACACCCCGTGGTCCCCACCCCTGTGTGAGAGAGACTTCAGGGAGCTGGCAGAGCTGTTAATGATGGAGCGGAAAAAATATACTTGAGAAGGAAGGAAGCAGGCAGCCCCTGGGATGGCAAGGTGTCATTTCCACAGATACACACGCAAAGAAGGTTGTCCCTTTGATTAGGCCACCGTTTCCAACCATGATGGGCACTGACTGTTGTGTGAAGTCAGGGAGAGCAAACGAGTGTTGGGGCCCAGCCCTTAGGCCCCGTCTCCAGGAACCAGAAAGAAGCACCCGTTTCCTTAATGGCTGCTCCGCCTCTAACCCAGGGTGGAGCAGAATTTGCCAATTGCATTCCTGGGGCAGGTGATGATGCACAGTACCTTTGGGGCTTCCAGAGGACTTAGGAAGGGGAGGTGGGGCTCTGTACCATCCCTGTCCCGTGAGGCCGGGCACCCTGAGCGAGGGCTGCCCGGGGGCTTCCGCCAGGTTCACCAGTGCTGACCCAGAGGGCCGAAAGTCAGCAGAAGTTGGCTGTTAGACCATGTTTAGGAGCACTGTTGAGTGGCATGAAGGCATTCACACTGTTCTGCAGCTGTCACCACCATCCTTCTCCAGAGCTTCCATCTTCCCACTGGGCTGCTGCCCCATCCAGTCCGGCCTGCCATCCGTTTCTGTCTCTAACTGCTCTGGGTCCCTCCTGGGAGGGGAACCCTCGGCTTGTCCTTGTGTGTCCTCGAGGTTCACCCACGTGGGAGCATGTTCCAGGAAGGGGTCTTTTGAAAGCCCCTGGGGGGCTGGTGATCAGGTTGGATCTCTCTGTCCAGACAGGACGTGGTCTGATCAGTGTCTTCTCGTTTCACAAACCTTCCCACACGGAAGCAGGCACCTCAGGCCACAGCCCCTTCACCCGGGCCGTCTCTCCCCACAGGTGCACATCCTTATGGGCTCCTGTTACAAGACCAAAAAATTCCTGCTCTCCCTGGCGGAAAACAAGCTGGGACCCTGCATGCTCCTGGCGCTGAGGGGCAACCAGACCATGGTGGAGGTGAGGAGCCATCCCGCCCTGTCCTTGTGGATGGAGCTCTGAGCACGGACCTACTCCGGGAGCTGGGGACACAGGGGCAGGCCCAGCAGGTGCAGTCCCAGCCTTCGGAGCTCCGCGAGCAGAAGGCCTGGTCCACCTGTTTCTTCCTTTCACCTGTGCTGGGCATCGCCCAGAGGCTCAGGAGTGTCTGCCCCGTTCGTTGCTGCGAAACAAACCAACTCAAGTGGGGCTCGAACAATAATTACCTTTCTATTGCTCACTGAGCTTGGGGTGACTGGACTCAGCTGTTCTCACTCTGCGCCTCTCATGGGGTCACAGTCAGATCAGGGGCTGGCTCACCTCCAAGGCCTCTGGCCTAATAGGACTCCACCGGCCCAGCTCCCGGGCCCTGCTCACCAAGGAGCACGCACCAGTCACAGCCCCCATGTCACCTCCCTGCTCCTCTGTCTCCCCCAAAGTCCCCAGAGCCACTGCACAGAGAGAGGCCAGCCAGAGCCATGCCGCTTCCCAGCTCAGCCTCAGAAGTCAGGCGGCATCACTGCCACTCACACCCCTGTAGTCAGTCCCCAAGGCGGGGCTGCAGTCAAGGGGACGGGGTTAGACTTCACTCAGAGGAAGAGCGTCCCAGGCAAGGGGGAGGGATGGTGAGACTTGAGGACCAAAGAGGAGTTAGCAAGAGGCAGGAGCGGAGCCTTCCTCCCCTCTTCTCCCACCAAGGCCCGCAGCAGGAGGCTCGGTGGGAGAAGAGGGGAGGCCAGGCCCTAGAACAGAATGAGCCCAGGCAAGGGGCTCGGGATACGGGCGGACACGCGGGAAGAGCCTGATGCCCGCAGGTCCTGGTGAGGAGCTTGGAGCTTAGTCCTGAGTGCCTTGTGTGGGGAGAGGGAAGAGCAGGAGCAGTGGCCTGAGGGCCGGGCTGGCTCTCCTGGGCGAGTGAAAGAGGAAAGGGGTCTCAGGCAGGACTGCAGCCTGTGGGTCCGGGCAGGGGGGCCTGGGAGGGGAAGTGGGTGTGCAGCTGCCCGAGGCACAGGTCCCCAGGCTCCAGCTCAGGGTGCATGTCTGAGCACCTGCTGTGTGCTCAGCACGGGGGCAGGATCCAGGGATAGAAAGAGGTGTCCTGTGCTTGGGCCTGGTGTGCATTGTTTCATGTGCATTTACTAAAAGCCTGCTGCTGTGCGCTCAGCTGGGCGGACACCAGCACCCATTGTGCAGGTGGGAAGCTGGGGCAGGCGATTTCCAGTGTCACACAGCGCGAGAGCGGGCTGTTGACTTTCAAAATAAGGCCCTTAGGGCAGAAGGGGTGTATTGAGCTTATTGAGAGACGCCCCCTTTTCAGGGCACACTGGGCTTTTGGGGCTCGCTGCTTGCCTCTGCCCCTCCAGGGAGGGCCCGTCCGGAGCTGCAGCCGATGGTAACATGCTCCCTATCTCTCGGCAGATCCTGTGCTTGATGCTGGAGTACAACATCATCGACAACAACGACACCCAGCTGCAGATCATCTCAACCCTGGAGAGTACCGGTGTGGGGAAGCGCATGTATGAGCAGCTGTGCGACCGGCAGCGGGAGCTGAAGGAGCTGGTGAGCCCATAGCTAGGCCGGCCAGCAACATCGCGGGGTGCAGGGGGCAGAGCACAGGGACCTCTGCACCTGTGGGGATCTCTTGTCTCATCAGATCCCCCTCTAGACCCAAAGATCATGATTAGCACCCACCACTCTCCAGATCATCAGAGAGCACAGAGAGGTCAAGACAGTGCCCAAAGGCACACAGCATATTCAGATCCTGGCCCAACAACCTCCTGTCTCATCCCCAGAGCCATGCATGGCAGTCACTATCTGCTCACCGGTCCCCACCCCATCTCCACCTCCCACTTCAGGGACTGGGCCTTGGCTTTCAAATGCCAGCACATCTCTTGGCCAAACAGCTCTCAGTCCACATGTTTGCACTGCAGAGCAGAAGTGGAGGGGTGGTCATGCCCCCTTGTCCCCTGGAGGAGCCCTCAGCCAGTGACTGGTGGGAGAGGGTATGCAAAGGCCTTCTCTCACTGCTCAGGAGGGGTGGCTCTGGGGCGTGGCTCCTCCACCGCTTCCCAGAGGTCCCCGGGGCAGCTGGGTTGATAGCAGCACCTTCCATTAGGGGCCTTTATGGACTCCCTTCCCAACTCCCTGATTCTGGGAGCACCTTTTGAATAAACAGCCTTTGCTCAAACCTTGTCTCGGGTCTGCCCCTGGGAGCATAAGAGAGGCAGGACGCAGGGAGGAAGCTCGAGAGAGAATGGGTCATAATCAGCGTGGTTTCTGTTGCAGCAAAGGAAAGGCGGGCCCACCAGGCTAACACTGCCCTCCAAGTCCACAGTGAGTAGGATTTGTTCTCTCTGTGGGGCCGGGTGGAGGGAGGAGGCGGCCTGGTCCTCCCTGCTGGGATGGCAGGTTGTGTCTGTTGGACGTGGTGGGAGGAGGTGAACCAGGACCCATAGGACTTAAACAGCCAGCTTTTTTAGGGGAACCCAGGTTACAGGAAACCAAACATTATGCAAAAAATAATCGCTTACTTATGTAAACATGTTACGTTATTACCAATAATAATGGTAATAGCTAATATACATTGAGCATTTTTAAACCAGACTAGAGGCCTGATGCATGAAATTCATGCAAGAGTAGGCCTTCCTTCCCCTGGCTGCTGGCTCTGGCTTCCCCCTGGCACCCGGGATCTGGGCTTCCCTCACAGCCCCAGCTTTGTCTGGAAAGTGGTCTGGAAGGATGTCCGATCTAATTAGCATATTATGCTTTTATTATTACAGATACTGTGCCATTAAGTTCTTTTATCCTCACAACAATCCACTTAGTTGGCCCTCTTACCATCCCCGTTTTGCAAAGGATCTTAGTTTCTTATATCCCGATGCCCCACCATTCTTAAAAGGCTGCTCCAGCTCCAGCCACTTGTCTGTATTCTGGCCAGCAGGAAGAAGGAAGAGGCAAAGATGAACATGACCCTTCATAGAAGTCCCACTTGACACATCAATTTGTGTATCATTGTCTGGGTTTCGCACATGGCCCCAGCAGCTGAAAGTCAGCTTTAATTCAGGACTGCCAGGTGGCAGCTAAAACTCAAGCATTCTATTGCAAACATGGAAGGGGGGATGGATATTACCCTCAACAACCTCACAGTCTGGGCCTCAGGTATTCGTCAACCTCCACAGTTCTGAGAGTCGAGAGGGGGCCATTGTGTTAGCACGTGGCAAGCGGGTCTGGGCCGTTGCCCGGGAGGGAAGTGTGTCTGCACACATACACACCTGTGCGGAGGACGTGGCCTTAGAACACCCCAGTGCTGACTCAGGTGTGAGTCACAGCACTGAAGGCTCTTTCCTCCGTCTGGCAACTGCCACCCACAGGGACAGCCCTCCCTCCCTGACTCTCCCAGCCCGCCAGGCCATGCTCACCTCCGCTCCTGGGGATTTGCTACCCCCAGAAACCGCTCTCTGTGGAGCAGGGGAAGGAGCTGGGGGCAGGAGGTGGATGGCTCAGGGCCACAGGGAGTTCCCGGCCGCCTCTGAGGCCCCACCTGCCCATCTGTTTGCAGGACGCAGACTTGGCTCGGTTGCTGAGCTCTGGCTCCTTCGGGAACCTGGAGAACCTCAGCTTGGCCTTCACCAATGTCACCAGTGCCTGCGCTGAGCACCTCATCAAACTGCCTTCTCTCAAGCAGCTGAACCTGTGGTCCACTCAGGTACACACAGCCACCTGTGCCCACGCCTGCGTTCTCCCCGCTGCACCCTGCGCCCATGCCCTGCATTCTCTATGCACCCTGTGCCAATGCCTTGCTTTCTCCTCCATGCACCCTGCTCCCTGCTTTTGTGCCCTCTGTCCCTGCCCCCTATATCCTCCTTCATACCCTGTACCCTCCTCCATGGCTGGCCTTTCTGCCCAGAGCCCATGGCCCAGCTACTTGATTACCATGCCCCCTCCCTGGCTCAGCAGCCACTTCCCAGAGGCAGAGGAGGTGCAGGACCTCATGAAGCCTAGTGGCCCATTTCACAGTTGGAGTTGCTGAGGCCCTTGGCAAGGGCATGCCAGGCAGAGCTGAGGGGCAGGGTCTCCTGTGCGTGTGGGTACCTGTAGGCCTTTTCCTAGTAATAATGGCCGCAGCACGACACTTGCTGCCGGGCCTAGCATCAATGGCACTGGTAAGCACTTAGCGTGGATCAGCACAAGTGGTCTCCAGTCCACACCGGTAGCCTGCCAGCCCCGCCATCGCCACATTGTACAGAATGAAAATTGGCACACCCATCAGTCTGCCTTCCAGGCCCAACATTCCCCTCCTTAGCCCACCCCCTGTCCTGTCCAGGAAAAGGCCACTTCACGCCCATTCACAGCCCCCCATTGACGGGGGCCAAACCAGTTTGCAGGGAGGGCCCTGGTCAGGCCCTTGTCCCACCAGCAAAAGCTGGATTGGAACTGAGGTCAGAAGAGGCATTTGTGTCTTTGGAGAAAAGTGAGAACAGCCCAGACCCCGAGGCTGGGAGGGCTGTGGGCCCCAGAGCTGGGCTCTGTCCCCATCACCTACCTCCACAGCTGCCCCAACCTCGGGTTATTTCCTGGGCTGCCTTGGGGGCCAGAGTTGGTCTCCAGGGCTGAGAGGTTCTGTGCCCCACAGTTTGGAGACGCCGGCCTGCGCCTCCTGTCGGAACACCTCACCATGCTCCAGGTGCTGAACCTGTGCGAGACGCCTGTCACCGATGCCGGCCTGTTGGCCCTCAGCTGTGAGTACTGAGGGGCTGCCAGGGCTGGTGGGCCCCCTTACATTCACTCATTCATTCACTCATTCATTCATTCCACTTGACACCATGCACTGTGCTCTGTAGCACAAGCATTTATTGAGCACCTACATGTGCCAGGCACCATTCTAGGTGCTAGGAACAAAATGGGGGCGGGGGGGGGGGGGGAAGAGGGGGATTTCCCTGCCCTCGTGAACTTAAATTTTAGGGGAAAAAGTAAAGATGAGTAAGGCCCAGCCCTCACCCTCTTGATGCTGTCATAGCCCCAGGGGGTTATGTTGAAGGAAAGTGTTCCAGGGCATTGCTGCTGTGCTCCCAGTCCACCTGAGTCAGCCCCTGAGCTGGTCAGAAAGGCAGGTTCTTGGGCCCCGCCCCAGCCCTGCTGGCTCAGAAATTGCGCTTTTATAAATGCCTGGGCGAGCCGGGACCGGTTTGGCTCAATGGATAGAGCGTCGGCTTGGGGACTGAAGGGTCCCGGGTTCGATTTCGGTCAAGGGCATGTACCTTAGTTGCGGGCATATACCCAGTAGGGGGTGTGCAAGAGGCAGCTGATCGATGACTCTCTCTCATCGATGTTTCTAACTCTCTATCTCCCTCCCTTCCTCTCTGTATAAAATCAATAAAATATATTTTAAAAAATATAAATAAATAAATAAAATAAATAAATAAACGCCTGGGCGAGTCCTGGCACACTGACGTTTGAGAGGCGCTGCCCTCATACAAAGAGCCACACAACACTCAGGGAACCTCACAATGCACTTTCTGAGCCCAGTCCTCATCTACTGATGAGGAGCCTGGGGGTGCTGAGCCTGGGGACCTGCATTTCCCATTTTAGGCCCATCGGTGTACGTGAGAGGCCCGGCCCCTCGCCTTGGTCCCCGAAGGGAGGGACCAAGGAAGGCTTCCCTGGGAGGTGATTGGGTCTGGGTGTGAAAGACATACGTAGGAATCAGCCAAGAGGGAGGAGTGCTGGACAGTGGCCATGAGTTCTACAGGGTTGTTGTGGGGGTGCTCAGGAGGGGGTGGGGCAGCGGCAGGGTCAATGGGAGGCAGAGGGGAGGAGATTTGGCGCCACTCTGCAAATGGCATTATTGCCTGTATCAGTGTGATGGGGCCTGGGTAACAGTGCAGATCCCTGGCCCCGCTCTGGCCCCTCGCCTCACATCTCTGGGAGTGGATCGGACATTCAGATCTTTGACAGGCTCCCTGAGTACCTCGTGACGCAAACTGAAGCTTGAGGGTTGCTCTGGAGAACCAAGGGCTTGGGCCAGCTTCTGGGGTTCCCTTGGGGAGAGCCAGCCCCATTCCATCGGGGCTTGTCTGGGGCAAAACAACTCTGGTCCAGGCAGAAGAAGGACAAGACGGGAGACCAGAGGGGTGGCAGTTCAGAGGGCAGGGAGAGAACATGGGCCTAATTCAGACCAGCACATGCCGGAAACATCTCTTACCTGCAGCTGCCCCATGGGGTCTTACTGACCTAATGTCTGTCTGTCCTTTTACAGCCATGAAGAGTCTCTGCAGTTTAAACATGAACAGCACCAAGCTCTCAGCCGACACCTATGAAGATCTGAAGGTAATTCCTTCCTTCCTCCTCCCTCCTCTTCCCTCTGGCCAGCATCTAGATAGCGGTGCTTTGCCCTCATGAAGGAAAAAAGGGTATGGCCCAGCCGATAAGCCTGGAGAGAAAAGAATGGCGATGGAAAGAACTGATAAGGAGCAGGCCAGCAGGGAATTGATGGAGTGAAAACAGGGAGGGCCTGTGTGGCAGGGGATGGTGGGGACAGTCCTTGAGCTGAGACCCCAGGGGGGAGGCGCCAGGGGTGTGGAGGCCAGAGGAAGCCTCATGCGAAGGTCCTACGGCGGAAGGGTCACAGGAGCTGGCTTTGTGGCAAACGTGACTAGAAAGTGAGAAAGAGAACAGGACCTAGTAAGCCCACGTAGGTCACGAGAGGACTCTGGATCCCATCCACGTGCAGGAGACAGCTTCAGAGGCTCCGACAGGGCCGTGAGCTGCTTAAAGCTTGTTCTGGCTGCTGCATGGAAAATAGATATTTTTGAGAGGGAGTATGAGCAAGAGGAGAAGCAGGGGGAACATTCACAGGCTGGTGCAGCCACACAGTAAAAGCTGGCGGCAGCCAGATTGGAGAGATGAAACTGGGGAAAGAAAGAGAATCGGGGTAGTGGAATTTTGTTCGGGAGTAGGGAGTAGGGAGTCGGAGGCCCTGGGCCTCAGCAGCCTCCTGCCACCCCGTTATCCTGGGCTCGGTACCAGCTACCCCAGAAAGAGCAGGCAGGGCCGCCGAGAGAGCCAGGGCGCTGGCAGGAGGCTGCTGGGACCGAGGCTGAGGCCCCCTTCGGCAGGGCCTCCCCTGTCATCTCCCATCTCCGACCCAGCCGTACCTGCAGCTGGCCTTGATCACTGGCCTCGCCTCCAGACGCCTTTGTGTGCCAGACCCGTGCGGGGGTTGGGATACTGAGAGTGGCAGGAGGAAGCACAGCTAACAGACAGGACAGGACTTAGGGGCAGCAGGGAGGGACAGGCTGCTGCACTCACGGGGTAGAAGGACTTTCACAAAAGGGAGTCCTGAGAAGCCAGTTAGCCAGGCCGGCCGGAAAAGAGGGCCATCCACAGGGTCCTGAGGGGCACGCAGGGAGGGGAGGAGGTACAGGGTGGGCCAGAGCGGAGCCAGCCTGGGTCCCACCCACGGGACTCAGACTCAGACTCAGCTCGCTCGGGCCCTTGTCAGGAATGCCAACGCTAGGGCCCTCAGCCCTGCGCTGCTTTAGGGTCTCCCAGACCGAGTTGCAGGGGCTATAGTAAGCCGTGGGAGGAAGTCGCTTTTGTTTTCAAACATTCGGGAGACACCTGGTGCCTCCCAGCTTTTGTGTTTCCGGGACTCGGGGAGGCCATGAGTGCACAACCCAGTACCTCCAGATCTCCCTGTTTTTTAAGAAAACCTGGAAATCTAGTTTGTCCTGTGCAGTCTGCTAATTTTGAAAGGTTGGCTTAAGTATTGTTGACAGTGCTGTCCTGTGACTGCAGCCCCAGGCATCGAGGGAGCACAGGAGGGGAGCCGTGAGGAGGTGTCTGTGACAGAAGAGCTCCCTGGCCCCGGAGAGTGGGAAGGGGGAGTCAAGGCAGGAGGCGGGTCTGCAGCCTCTGCGCCGGGCAGGCTTGTCAGGAGGGGCCACCTGTTCCATCGTCCCGTGAGCCTGGGACTGGATTCAGATTGGCTCCACAGATGAGGAAACTGAGGCTCCTGGAGGTTTAGGAGGGGGTTGTCCAAGGTCATGTGGCCGGCAGGGGATCCACAGCCCCTCTGGGGCCGGGGACACCCCACTTGCTCTGTTCCCTCTGAAGTCACGCCGCTCTGACCTCCAGGGAGCAGCAAAGTGGGGAGGGCAGGGCCAGGCTCCGGAAGGGACCGGATCCTTCTTGCCTCTCCGCAGGCCAAGCTCCCCAACCTGAAGGAGGTGGACGTCCGCTACACGGAGGCCTGGTGAAGCTGCGCGCAGGAGGGAGTCTGCAGCCGCGACACACAACTCTTGACTAATTGCCGTAGAGCGCCAGGCCTGGGTCCCACCGGCTCCTGGCTGTGCGATAGATGGGGGTCTTTCTGGGGGCAGAGGGCGCTGGGGGAGGGGGAGGGGAGGGTCATGAGCACGCCCAGCCCCCGTCTAATTCTCTTAGCTTCATAATTGGAACCTTGACCTGATCTAAACGGACTTTGTAGCAACCAGAGGAGCATCAGCGGGTCGGGGAGGGTGTGGGAGGGGGGTTGGGGCTGGGGGACCCTTTGTGGATTTTCTTTGCCTTTGTGTTTAATGCCGTGTGGGGGAAGGCAACTCTGAGGCCACCGTCACGTATCCAGGGGCCTCCGGGCCGCGAAGGAGCTTCTCCTCAGAGGTCCCGCGGAGAACTCACCCGCCCCTGGGACCAGAAGGCCCAGTCCCACCACCCCATCCTGTGTCCTCGCCATCGCTATGCAAAGTGGTTCTCGTTGTACATAAGATTTAAATAATGCGCCTATTTAAGAAATGTTGACAAACTGCAGGTCTGGGACCTGCCTCTTATTTATGAAGTCTCTGTCCCGCCCGCCCACCTGCCGCCGCCCGCCCTCCCGCCCTGGCGTGCAGGACTGTACAAACCAGTTGGCTGTCAGGGTAGTGGTAGTGTTATTGTTATTTTTTTAAAGGAAACAAACAAAAAAAAGAACCTTCTTGGAAAATTGATTGCTTTGTAGTAATGGACTCTGTATGCTAATGCTCTCTCCTCCGTCCGTCCGTCTGTCCGTCCATCCGTCCGCCTACCCCTGTGCGTTTCCCAGATGTCTCCACCTTCCCCCCCCCACCCCCGGGGCGGGGTTCAGGCTGGGGGAGGAAAAGTGGGGTCCCCACATTGTGGTCTTGCTCCTCCAAGGCTCTGGCTTTCTCTCAGCCCCTTTTACACATTTGGAGGGGGGTGCTAACCTGCCGTCCCCCCACCCCCGGAGAGGAGCTGCCCGCCCTCTCCCTCTCCCCGTTCCCCCCTGTCCCGTCCCTGACTGAGACTCTGCACCTGTGGCCTCCCTCCCACCCTCCCGTGCCCGTGGTCTCCTCGTGCATGCGCCTCCCTGCATGGTCTCGGGAGGAGAGCGAGACGTCGCCTCCGCCAGCCTGACTGCCCAGCCCCCCTGAATGTGACCACTGCACAGACCCTTGTCTCACCCCCCGGACAGCCAACCTCCTTTCTTTTATAAACAGGCGGCTTTTTCTTAACAAGCCTTCACTGTACAGATCAGCCCCTTTACAGTTTACCTGGGGTCCCCTCTCCCCAAAGCCCCCTTTTTCTGTTGTTTTAGCACAAATACGCCCCCTCCAGCACCTCCAGACCTAACCCCCAGTCAATGTAATTGTTTTATATATATTTAATCTTATTCAATGGAAACCATGCTTTTGTCTTTTTATACTTTGCTAGGTAGACTTTATTACCCCCCGACTATGCCCTCATTTTTTTAAAAAAGGATAAAAAAGAAATTGGGTTTCAGTCTTAATTCATTTTACGTGCCAGGTTTTATTTCGTGTGCGTGTGAGTGTTCCGTTTTGTGTTTTGTTTTGTTGTTGTTGTTTTCTGTTGTTTGGTTTTATCCTCTCCCCGTGGTCCCATACTTTATAGCACTCTGGTGCAGAAAGAAGCAGAAGCAAAAAAAAAAAAAGAAAAAAATTTAAAAAATTTAAAAAGAAAAAAAAAAAGACCTGAGACATGCCACCTTTCCCCTTCGCACTGTTGCTTTTCCTGATGGTTATACTACTGTCACGTAGCTGTGTTCAGAGATGTGAAATACTTTCAGGCAAAAATAAACTGTAAGTGACTCATTGACCTCTGGCCTTTCTGTGTGGCTTCCCGAGGGTCTTGCGGGAAGAGTGGGGGGTGGGCAGAATGGGGCACAGCCCAGGCCGGAGTCAGGGCCACAGCAGAGTCCAGTCACCTGCTGGGTGTCCAGGGCTCCTCATCCTCAGCACTGCTGGCATTTGTGGGGGGCATCCTGGGCATCGTGGGGTGCTGAGCAGCATTCCTGACCTCTGACCTCGGCCGCGTGATGCCAGTAGGACCCGCCCCCAGGAGTAACAACTAAAAATGTCCCAGGTGCTGCTCACTCTCAGGTGGACACACCTTCTCTCCGCCTGGGCACTCGAACATGCAGGCGCTGGTTCTGGAGGTCTCTGTGGGCCCGAGATTCCGCATGTCCTAGGAGCTCCAGGCTGGTTCCTGAAGGGCTCGCCAAGTTTCACCCATGTATCTCCCTCCCCCGGATGTTCCCAAGAGGCAGACTCCATGTGTCCAAAAAGAGAATGGGGAGGAAGGCGGGAGAAGGCTGGGTCTCTTGGTCAAGGTCAACAAGGGGACCAGGACAGGCTGATAGCCAGGCCTATGGGAAGGCCTCCCCTAAGCTGGGTGAGTGGCTGGGGCAGGGACCAGTTGCACAGACAGAGATTCAAGAGAAGCCTAGGAGTCAGGACTGCAGAGCATGGTGCTTGAGACGACAGGAGGCAGGGAGACATGCAGGTCTCTGCCTCCTCGCTGCGGTCTGCCGTCACCTGGAATGAGCCTCTCCCACAGTGACAGGCAGGGCTGGGGTGGGAATACTGCCCCCTGGTTCCTCTGCCTCCCTGCCGTCCGCACGCACTTTCCTGTGTTTCCTGGGACCACTTTCCACCTAAGCTGCCTGCCTCGGGGGGAGACAGTGGCTGGTGCTGCCAGGCTTCCCTGCCAGGCTGGGATAACCCTCCCAAGGCGGGTGTTCCTGCCCAGCCTCAGCCACAGGGACAGCCCCGCGGAGCTGAAAGCTCTGCACCTGGGCCCCGAGAATCAGCTGGCACACACTCCGAGGTGGGGGTGGCGGAGGGAGTAGAAATCGGCTCAGCTGCTTTGGAAAGCGGATCCCCTAAAGCGAAGCCTCCGCCCACCCTGGGACCCTGCACAGCCTCTCCTGATCGAGCGTGCGCCCGAGGGAACGGAGCTCACGCGGCCACCGAGGGACACAGGAATGTTTACGGCCGCGTTACTCACAGCAGCCAAGGAGTGGAACCGGCCCAGAAGTCCACTGAGAAGAGAATGAATCAACAGACCGCGGGCTAGTCACACAGCGGAGCGACGCAAGCGCCTCCGTCAACAGGAGCAGGAGGCCACGCAGGGCGACACGCCCACAGGATGGGATCCTGCGGAGAGAAGGAGCCGGCTGGCGTGCAGTGACGTGGGCTCGCTGGGTAGACGTTACGCTGTGTGAAAGGAGCCAGACAAGACGAGGGTTTGCTGTCTGATTCCGTTTATGTAAAAGTTCAGAGCAGGCACAAGCCGTCTGGGATCACAGAGGCCGCAGGGGCGGTTACCTGCGAGGGGGCGTGTGAATGGCGGGACGGTGGGAGGGAACCGCTGGCTGGTGCTCTGTGCACATCCTAGAGCCCCACACGGAACATGGGTGCCATGTACGGCTCATGTGGACACATAACCCACATGTCCATCAACGAACGGCCGGACCCTTAAAAGTGGTATAAATAGACAATGGACTGTTATCCACCCATAAAAAGGAATGAAGTACGGACACGCTCCTACGTGGATGAACCTTGGAAACCCTATAGTAAGTGATGTCATTCATATAAAACGTCCAGAGTAGGCAAAATGGGGGGGGGGGGGGGGGGGGGGGGGTTTAAATTGGTGTTTACCAGAGGCCAGGGAGTAACTGCTTAATGAGAATGTGGTTTTATGTTAGACCTAGTGGCCCAGTGCACAAAATTTGTGCACATTAAAAGGGGAGTAATTGGAGGGAATAATTTTTTTTAAAATATATTTTATTGATTTTTACAGAGAGGAAGGGAGAGAGATAGAGAGTTAGAAACATCGATGAGAGAGAGTCATCGATCAGCTGCCTCTTGCACACCCCCTACTGGGGATGTGCCCGCAACCAAGGTACATGCCCTTGACCGGAATCGAACCCGGGACTTTTCAGTTCCCAAGCTGACGCTCTATCCATTGAGCCAAAGCGGTTTCGATAAGGAGGGAATAATTTAATATAGCTATTTGCCTTTCTCTATAATAGAAGTGTCAGAGATGAAAGAAAATTAGTAAAATGTATATGAAAACCTTCCTCCTGTCAGAGTGGGGCACACCACGGGACCCAGAGTCAAGTCTCTGCCTACTCACATGCAGCTCAAAATCATGTGAGACCCAGACCCAGCCGCCCCCTCCCCCCATTGGGCTAGATCCAGACCCGGCCAGTCCCACCCTTGTCAAGCCCCGCCGGGCAGGGGGCGGAGCCTCAGGTTCTCTGGCCTGGTGCCAGGATGGGGAGCGGGGCTTGAGGGCCCCCAGCCCAGACCATGACGGGGGTGTGCCTTGAGGTCCCCCATCAAGCCCAGCCAGGTGGAGGTGGGCTCAGCCTCAGGTGAGTGGGGGTCACAACCTGAAGCCCCCTGTCAAGCCCCACCTGGTGGGGAGCACAGCCTGAGGTCCCCCAGCCTGGTGCTGGGACAGGGGGAGCAGCCTAAGGTCCCCTATCCCAGCACCAGGATGGGAAGTGCACTTTGAGGTCCCCTGTCAAGCCCTGCCAGGTGGAAGGGTGGCCTCAGGTCCCCTGGCCTGGCACTGGAGTAGGGGGTGCAGTTTTTCCTCTGACTGTAATGGTAGGGGCAGCCAGGGGGTCAAGGTCTGAAGTCCCTTGTCAAGCCCTATCAGGTGGGGGGACGCAGCCTGAGGTCCCCTGTCAAGTCCCATGGGGGCAGGGGAGGGCAGAGCCTCAGGGCCCTGCTGATTGCTCCTTAAGGCTCCTTATGGGAACTTGGCCTCAGCTGTGGGTGCAGCCATTTCTGTGACAGAGTGATGGTCAATTAGCATATCCCCTCTTTATTAGATAGGATGATGAAAATATTTTGGAACTAGATAAAGGCGGTGATTGCACAACATCGTGAGTGTTCTAAATGCCACTTTAAGTTGGCTTCTAAGGTGCAATTTTGCCTCTTTTTTTTTTTTTTTTTTAAGTGTTTTGCCTCAAAAATGAATGTTTTAAATGGGAAGTTGGTTGCTGCTCCTGTCCGTCTGGGCTTGGGAGGGTGTGGTGCCATGTCACCGGGGCTTTGATCGCAGCCATTCTTGTCCAGCCTCATGAAGACTCGGTGAATGTTTTTTTAAAGTGTCCCCTCCTCTAAACACTATATTGCCATCTGCTGGAACAAACACACACGGTTGTATAATAAATACACAAAGTCTCTTAAATGTGGTGCCCGTGCTCAGCCTGCATGGCTGTATGTGGTAGGATGTATTTTTGCTTTATTTTTGGTGGGATGGGCCTTGAAAACTTAATGCTGACCTTCCCTCTTGGTCTCATTAAAAATAAATAATAAATAAATTAAAAATTAAAAATAAAAAACCTTCCTCAAATCATTTTTTTAAATATATATATTTTTATTGATTTCAGAGAGGAAGGGAAAGAGATAGAAACATCAATGGTGAGAGCTGCCTCCTGCACTATCCGCCCACAACCAGGACATGTGCCCATGACCAAATCAAACCCAGGACTCTTCAGTCCACATGCTGATGTGCTATCCACTGAGCAACACCGGCTAGGGCCTGTTCTCATTCTGATGTGAGTATGGCTAGCCTGGGCTGGCCTGGCTCAGATTCGTCAGGGAGATGGAATCCACCCGGTCCCTGCTCTCCTCACCAGTATGCTTCCACCCGCCCTTCGGAACACTTCCAATGACGAAACCTTCACCGAAGCACTCATTAAATCATGGTCCTCTCACAGCAGCAGGGGCTGGGGACGGCCTCGACGGTCCCGCACCATGTTCCTGGCCACTGACCTCTTGGCTGTTAGTTTTTCCTCTGACTGTAATGGCAGGGCCAGCCAGGTATTCTCAAACACCAGGCTTGTCTCCTCTCTGATTTGCCAGGGAGAAGGCTGTCAGATGCAGTGAGAAGGAGGCTCAGAAGACGGGGCAGCTTCCAGGGCGCAGGATACTCCTACAGCAGCTCCGTTCTGGGCCCCCTCCCACTGGCTGCAGAAATGCGTTTTAAATCCTCACAGCCCCGGAGTTCCAGCAGTATCCATGGGCTCCGGGGGCTGTAAAGCTACTTTTGCCACACCCTGTATTCATTTACTAGAGAGAGACTTGTAGATCATCACCATGCATTTCCGTGGAATCTGAATGAATGAATGAATGAATGAACGAATGAATGAATGAGTGAAAAACGGATGTGGAGAAAGGAAAGCAGCATTGCTCATGAAATGAGGGCTGTGGGTTGGGCATCTGACCGACATCTAACATCAGGGCTTGGGCAGCGAGACTGGATTCTTGACTTTGAACTGAAGACAATCAAGTGTTTACCTGAGGCCGCCAGGCTACAGGCTCTCAGAGCTTTGTCCTTGTTGGATTTGGGTCCCACGTGGGCCCAGGGTCCACGGTCCTGCTGCCTGCCATCTTACCAGGTACGCTCCTTCCTTTACTTCCCACGGCCTTGTACTCATTAAATCATCGGTTCATTCATTCATAGAGCAAACATGTCTTGGCTGAATCTTGGGAACACTGTGCTGAGTGAAAGAAGCAGCCACATCGGTCCACATATTATTCCATCCAGATGAGAGAGAACTCTTTGGAGACAGAAAATGATCAATTGTTGCTTAGGGCTGAGGTGGAGAGGAGAATGTGCAGGTGACAGCTAAAGGGCAGTGGCTTCCTTTGGGAGTGATGGAAATGTTCTAAAAGTGACTGCTGTCTGCACAGCTCTGTCAGCAAACTAAAAACCACACAGCTGTACACTCGGGTGAATGGTAGGGTATGTGAACTACATCCTAATAGGCTGCTTTTAAAAAATGTGCTGAGCCC